ATGTCTTGATATTCAACGGGGTTTTCGGTAGATGAATGTAAGCCGTAACGGGACTTACACGTAACGAAAACCACGCTCTCGCTGCCTTAACCGGAGTTGAGAATATATTAGCGACATCGTATTCATAATTATTGGCAAAGAACTAATATTCAACCCTATTTAAGCATTTAAGTGATTCCCGAAGCCTTAGTTGTTGTTATCATTTATCTTGAACTCAAAGTTAGTTAACGATTATCTTGTTGAACAAAAAGTGAAAAAACCAAAAATATAAAACACAAATCAAAATCCCTGCACTTTATTCAATTCTTCATTTAACGTTATCTACTCTCCGACTTGAATTAAACAACGTTTCCTTGTGGATTCGACCCGGTATTTTACCGGAATTTATTACTATATCGACACTTGTACACTTGCAAGTTTAGGCCGATCACGTATGTTGACGACATGATTGTCAAGAGCAAGCAATCAGCAAGCCATGCTGATGACCTGAGGGAGATCTTCGCCATCATGCAGAAGTTTAGCCTTCGGCTGAACCCAAAGAAGTGTACCTTCGGCGTCCAGGGGGGCAAATTCTTGGGCTACATGGTGAGCCGAAGGGGTATCGAGGCCAACCCCGAGAAGATTCAGGCCATCATCAACATGGAGCCCCCACGCAACGTAAAGGAGGTCCAACGGTTGACGGGCCGCCTGGCAGCCCTCAATCGCTTCTTATCAAAATCGGCGGAGAAGTCCTTACCCTTCTTCCAGATCATGAGGAAGACCCTCAGGGAAGCGGAACTCCGGTACTCCCCTGTGGAAAAAATGGTATTGGCTATCGTGTGGACCGTCAAGAAGTTGGGCCACTACTTCCAGGCTCACCCGGTCCTCCCGAATGGTGAAATGGGCTGTCTTCTTAAGCCAATACAACATCGACATCCGTCCTAGGCCCGCCATCAAGTGCAAAGCCCTAGCGGACTTCGTGACGGAATGTACGGCAAGATCAGCCGTGGACAAAGAGCCCTCGGCCCCCTCAGATGATTGGTGGACCCTCTACACCGACGGCTCCTCCGCCGCCAAAGCATGTGGAGGAGGGGTGGTTCTCATCTCACCCGAGGGCTTCCGGGCCTATTACGCAGTCCGTTTCTCCTTCAAAGTCTCTAACAATGAAGCCGAATACGAGGCCCTCCTCTGTGGCCTTCGGCTGGCAGCTAACATGAAGGCCCGACAAATTCACGTCAGGTGCGACTCCAAGTTAGTCGTCGGCCAAATCTCCGGGGAGTACGAAGCCAAGGAAGGGAGAATTACAAGGAGGCGGCCAAGGAGTTGCTTAAGGTATTTGAGGCACACTCTCTTACTCAGATACCGAGGGCTCAAAACTCTGAGGCCGACATTTTATCGAAGCTCTCGGCAGAATCCCCTGAGCATATCTCAAAGATCGCCAAAGTGGAAGAACTCAGCCTCTCTAGCATACACGCTAGCCCCATCATGCATATACAACAAAGGCAAGGTGACTGGATCTCAGACATTGTCACCTTCATCACCACAGGGCAACTGCCCGAGGACGAGGCCCGCGCTAAACTAGCAAAGCTGAGGGCTCCCAGCTACATTATCGAAGACGGATGGCTTTACAAGAGGTCCTACAACGGGACATTACTTCGATGCCTTCATCAAGATGAAGCCGAAGTGGCGATGGAGGAGGTGCACAGTGGCACTTGTTCAGCTCACCAGGGACCCTTCTCCATGTCCCGAAGACTAATAATCCAGGGCTACTTCTGGCCCACAATGGCCCGGGATTGTGCAGATCTTGCCCGAAGGTGTTCCGCATGCCAACACTTCCAGAAAGCCCCCGGCAGGCCAGCGGTCAACTATGCCCCCATCAGCACATCCATACCCTTCGCTCGATGGGGCATAGACCTTGTGGGCCCTCTGCCGAGGGGTACCTCCAACAACAGGTACATCATTTTCGCCATCGATTACTTCACCAAATGGGTGGAAGCTGAGCCCCTCGCCAGCATCACTGAGGCCAGGTGCCGTCATTTTGTTCTCAAAAACATCCTCACCAGGTTTGGCGTCCCTCAGCAAATCATCTCCGACAACGGGACTCAGTTCGAGGCAGCCCCCTTCTGTGCCCTCCTAGAGGCATGGGGCATCAAACACACCTTTTCATCTGTTGCCTACCCCCCAGGGCAACGGTCAAGTGGAGAACGCCAACATGACCTTGCTCGAAGGCCTGAAGAAGAAACTAGAGGCCGAGGGGGGTGGCTGGGTAGAAGAGCTCCACAACATCTTATGGGCCTACCGTACCACCCCTCGGCGGGCAACTGGTGAGACACCCTTCTCCCTTTGCTACGGATTTGAAGCCAAGGCCCCCACTGAGGTAACGCTTCCAACCCGAAGGGTTACACAGTATGACCCAGAGGCCAACGACGCCAATATGGCCCTCGACCTCCACCTTATTTCGGAACGCCGAGAGAAAGCCTTCATATGTGCAGAAAACTACTGAAGGCAAGTGAAGAGTTACATTGACGCCAAGGTCCGCTCCCGAGAATTCCAAGTGGGGGATTATGTCCTTCGAAGAAGGGAAGCTAGCCAACCAACCGAGGGCGGAAAGATGGCACCAAAGTTCGAGGGCCCCTACATCGTGGCAGCCATCATCAAACCAGGAACTTACAAGCTAAAACGCCCTAATGGGACCGAAGTCCCTAGGCACTGGAATGTACATCACTTAGTTAAATTTTATCAATAACATCAGAGCGGCCAAGCCCTCATAACTAGTGAATGTATTATTTTACGGCCCAAGGCCTAAAAATTCTGAAGAACGAAGGCATTTTGAAGACACCAAAAACATGGAACAGGGTCCTTACGAAGAGCCAAGCCCTCACATCACCCCCGGGCCCAAGGCCTTACCACAAGGAAGAACCCTCGGCAACAAGTGCCGAAGGTAGACAATACTATCACCTACAACAGCAAAAAAAAAAGTACCAACTGTCCTCAAATGGAGACCACTCGGCACCCAGTGCCGGGGGGACACATCACTGACAACTTTCAACAAGTGGGAAAAAACACCAAGTGTTTTCACAGAAGACCCCTCGGTACCAAGTACGTAGTGCCCCCGGCCATTTGCAACCAGTGTGCAAATGAAAACCCTTCCCTGAAACGCTTTCCGCGTCATCACCCCAAGGGTATGACAGGCACGAGAAATGCCCAGGATTCGACTTTCAAAAACGGAACGCTTTCCGCGTCATCACCCCAAGGGTATGACAGGCACGAGATATGCCCAGGATTCGACTTCCAAACCGAAACGCTCCCCGTGCCACCACCCCAAGGGTGTGGCAGGCCACGGACTATGTCTAGCGCCGAGGGGACGACTTTCAAAACTGAGGCGCTTTCCGCGCCATCCCCCAAGGGGAGGCAGGCTACAGACCACCATATCTTGTACCCAGGAAATGACCCTCGATCCCCTCGGAACTCGGAAGGTTAACCTGAGGGGGGAGCTAATGGTGTATTCTGTTACCTCCCGATAGGCCAAGCCTTACCAAGAAACCAAGTTTCTTGAAGCCTTCCCTTCACTACCTAAAAAAAATGGGGTGGTGAAGGGGAGTAGACTCGGTGAGAAATCAATGAGTACATCACTCCTACAATTCACGGAAACATACCGAGGGCTCCCCAAGGGAACGCCTCCGATACCTGGACGTTCATGAGTACCAAGGATACCATTCACAACAGACATCATCAACAAATGGCTAAGTCCACTCAAGGATTGCCTCCGGCTATACCTAAAACCGAAGGCTCAAATACTACAAAACATGGCAAGCTCAGCCAACAACAGCTCAAAAACGTTACCGAAGGCTACTTTATGACAAAGCTATCAGATGTTGGCCAAATCAAAGCAAGATCACCTCCGGCACCTCACTAGAAGCCGAGGGGACACACCCAGACAGGGCCCGAGGGAGCCTGTCTTTTTATACTAGACTTGGATTACAAACTCTCCTATATCAACATCGGGGGGACATAACAAACAACCAAAGGCTTTTGTTACCACAGGCCAACATTACAAGACAAAGGAAACTATCCTAAACCTACAACGTATACAGCCGAAGGGTCCCCTCCCGAAGGCCAACAGCAGGAAATACTTAGAGAAAATAATCTAAGTCCTAAATATTTTGCCCCCTGTGGGGCCACCAGTCAGCCGAGGGCGCATCTGAGGCAAGGTCCTCACATTCACCCGAAGGCCCCTCCTTCATACAAACTACACTTAGAAGAATTTCTAAGTCCCAAAAGTTTTTGACCCTCGGTCAAATCTCCATGCAGCCAGAGGGGCCGCACAGTCAAAGGCTTGATGAAAATACACTTAGAAATATTTTCTAAGTCCTACATATTTTGACCCTCGGTCAAATCTCCATGCAGCCCGAGGGGTCATACGGTTGAAGGCTTGGTGAAGCCACACTTAGAAAAAATTTCTAAGTCCTAACTATTTCGGGGCCCTCGGTCATACATCCAGTCAGCGAAGGGTACCCAATCACCAAAGGCTAGACTATATTCAAACACTTAGAAAATTCTTCTAAGTCCTAAACATCTCGCCTCCGGTTATCTCATGAAGGCTGCACAGAACCGGAGGGAAAGAGTTAGTCGGGGGCCAACAGATGAACAAACACTTAGAAATATTTCTAAGTCCTGAACGTTGGGCCCTCGACCAAAGGCTCCATTGGCTAGATAGGCCTAGTAGCCGAGGGCTGCGAGAGGTACTATACTTGGAAGAATATATTCTAAATCCTAACACACATTCAAGGAAAGACGGAGGCACACATTCAAGGAAAGACGGAGGCACACATTCAGAAAAGGCGAAGGCATACAATCAGAAAACTACGAGGGCATACATTCAAAGAAAAAACAATTCAAAGGAACGGGTCATACACAAAAAGCCCGAAGGCACTTATCCATTCATTGAGGGGAGAAAAGTTGAAGTATTCATTACAAAAGGGCCGAAGCCAAAAGTGCAACAATATGATTACAAATTAGTAGGGAATACATTTTACAGAGGGGGAGCTACAACATCGCCCCCTTCGACAGCTGTGGAGATAGCCTCGCTTTCGGCCTCATCCCCATCACCCCCGAGGCCGCACTCCCTCAGAGTCTCCGAGTCTTCAAGCACCGGTCTCTCTTTGCCTTCGGGGAGCAGGATCCTGACGTCTGGCTGCCGAGGGGGGAGGCCATAAGCCTCGGGCTGGAACTCCTCCGGTGAGACCTTGAAGTGCCTCGCGAGCTTCCGGTATATGAGGCGTTGGGTGAAGAACTCCCCGCCTTGGTAGTAGGAATCGCCCTTCTCAGCAAGCCACATCTTGCCGGGGCCTCCAACCCAGTCATCCACCGAAGCCCCCACCACCGAGGAGAGCCACTCCTTCTGATCTTCAGCTTTCCACCCCTCGGCAGTAAAGCCGGTCAAAGCATCCTCCCGGGCCCTGGAGACGACCTCTTCTTGATCCGCGTGGGCTTCCTCAGCAGCGATGCGGGCGGCCTCTGCAGCAGCCTCCCCGGCCTTGGCCAGGCCCTCATTCATCCCCTCAGCCCTCGCAGCTTGCACCCGCTGCTCCATGCTGTCGGTGGCTAGGCGGAGAGAATCCTCGACCTCGGTAAGCTTCTTCCTAAGGAGGGCAGCCTCCCCTTCGGCTGCGCCCTTCGCCTCCTTCATCTGCTCCACCCTTCGAAGGTGCTCACAGAGGCCCATGAAGCTCTACAATCCACAAGGGCGAAAGTTAGATATGATAAAACACAGTACGAAAGAACAACAACAAACACAGAGGAAAAAGATAGTCGTGACTTACGGAGGCAGTGTTCAGAAGGATCTTCGCCTCGAGGGAGCTCTCGTCCAGTCTGGCGAGGGCCAAGCGATCAGCCGATGGCAGCATCTGGCTCATCAGCGCCGAGGGGTTCAGGCTACCCTCCAGTACAGAAGCCCCCTTCGGCATTATCGCCTCCAGTTTCTCCCGCCCAAAGAACTCTTGGTTGATGTGCTCCTGAGAGGTGGGGGCAGAGGCGTGCCCCTCATCCACAATAACAACCACGTCAGTGGTCGACAGCTTGGCGGGGCAGCTTTTATCTTCTTGGCCGGGGGCTCGGTCCCCTTGCCATTGTTTTTCTTCTTCACGGGCCCAGCACCTCTGGACCCCCCGGCGCCAGCACCGGCAGCAGCAGCTTGGGAGGGCTCCTCCCTGGCAGAAGTGCCCGCCAGGCCCTTCTTCTTCCCTTTGGCATTCTTCAAAGCGAAGAGAGAGCTGACGTCCATGGTGTTACCTGCAAGAATAAGACACAGAATGGTTAAACCGAAGGGTGTCAGGTACAAGGCATAGAGTAAAAGAATATATATATATGAAGGAAACTATCAAGTTGCAGATAAACCCTTCGATAATCACCTCTGGCTCCTTCGAAGACACGATCGAGGGGAGGGTATCTTTCATCCGATGAACCCCTCGGTCTGAACTGCCGGAAGCCAAGACTGTACAGTTCTTCAGGGAGAGTGACGTCCTTGATCTTAACATGCTTATCGGACCCCTCCGGTTTTTTGGCAAGTATTCTGCCATTCTTCTCCAGGGCCGCGCTCCCTATCTTCGGGTGGCGCCGGAAGCTGTTGCGGAGATGAGCCGGAAAGGGGTTCTCCTCCAAACGTATGTAGCAAAACCGCTCCTTCCAACTCTTGTGGGACGAGGGGACGTCGTCGAAGAGCCTAAACTCCGGCACCTGCTGAAGGTTGGCAAAGCCCTCAGCGTTTGAATGTCCCCCCGGCAGAGGTTGAAGGACATAAAGAACTGGTCGAGGGTAGGTGGAACCCCCCGGCTCCAGCACAGGGAGAGGAAGCCGGCCACATAAGAGTGGATGTTGGGCGTTAGCTGGCAGGGGGCCAACCCCACAAATCTCAGATATTCCAGCAGGAAGGGGTGGAGCGGAAAGCGAAGCCCCATCTCCACCGACAGGGTGTGAACAGCAAAGCACCCTTCGGGCGCATATCGCAACAAGCCATCTGCCCCGGGCTCCACCACGCGCGCTGAAGGGCCAACCAGGATCTGAGTGGTCTGGTACTCTGCCGAGGACGCCCTCGTCTTCAGCTCTAGGGCAGCGGTGTTCAGGAATGAGTGGCCCTCAGGTATGCCTACCGGCCGCCCGGCATCAACGGCCGCTTGTTTCTTCTTCGGGGCTGCCTTCATCTTCTTCTTTTTCCCGGGAGCCACACTGATGAGCGTCGGGTTCAAGGGTCGGGAGGAACTGGATTCCCCGGCGCCACGAGGGGGAAGGACAGCAACCATCACCTTCATCCTCTCCCTCTCCTCTTCCTCTTCGGCAGTCTGAACGGCAAGGGCGAGCTCTTCGTCCTCATTCACCTGCTCGAAGTCTTCGGCTTCGACTTCGGCCTGGAGGTCCTTCTCCACCTCCATGGCCACTGCAGCGTCACCACCCACCGAAGACTCCTCGCTCGAAGACTCGACGTCGGAGTACGTCTCCATCTCAACCGAAGGCTCCCCCGAAATATCTTGGGAATCACTTTGCGAGGACATTTCTACTAAATCAAGGGTCGAAGGGAGGTCCTAAAAGCTCTAAGCTACGGGCACTTAATCTAAGGCTGAAAGGTGAGAAGGAATGAAAGTATGCAAGAACTGACCTTGAAAGCTGGGGATTCGACCGAAGGCTGGATTTTCTCTCTCTAGAAATTTGGGCAGAGCTTCGCTAACAAATGATCGCACAAGAGGGATGATGCCCGGCCATGGGGTATTTATAGGTGCCCAGATCCGGGCTTGGGCCCAAAAACCGGGCCTCTGGTCACCAAGTCATCATTACAAACCGTGGTTTCGCCCAATCGGTAACGCCGCCCGCGGGCAGCCAACCGTCGCGCGCCACGTGTGCCCCCCCTCAACGGCTATATAGTGGTGTTAGATATTCCAACGGCTATATTCTCAACGACTATATTCTGGGAGCCTCCGGCTACATTTAGCGGCCCACTCCTTCATCAACCAAGGAACTAGCCCCCGGGCTTTTTGCCTCACGCCACTTCATCAAGAAGAGCCCCCGAGTACACTTACCCAGAGACGCTCCCGGCTTGTGCCCCACACACTACATAACAAATGTCTTCGGGCTCACCCCCTCAGAAGCCCACGGCTTCACAACAAGCACACCCCTCGGGGATCCCCCCTCAGCACTTTGAGGACCAGGTAGCCCCCGGGGAGTACGCCTCATTGGCAGATGGCCTACGGAACACAGGTAACGGGAGCCCTCGGATACCCTCCGCACCAACTAACCAGCAAACAGGGGACACCCCGGTAACACCTCAACTACTACTCACATTCATCACGCCCTCGATCCCCAGATTGAGGGACTCCCCTTCGGCACCTCCCAGGATAATCAACAGCAATCCTCCGGCTAATTAACACCCGCGCCCTCAGAGTAAGGATAGCCTTCGGCACTAACATTGCACTCCATTTCAAACCAGGGCTTCACGTTTTCGATTCATCATTGGGGGAATTCGGTGCACTCTTTTTCCCTCATTAGGATTTTTTCCCACAGGGTTTTTCCTAATGAGGTTTTTAACGAGGCATCCCCCCAAAATGAAACGAAAAGCGTCAGCCTTCGGCCCAATACAGCAACATGATTACTCTACTCCTTTTCACCACTTTGCAAGTGGCTCAAGGAGTGGGGGACTGGAGAACCCCCCCTCGGGAAAAATCACAAAAATCACAAGCATGACCCCTCAAGTCCCGACATGTGGGTAACTGAGGGACTGCCCTCGGCAGAATAAACAGACAGCAAACTACCCACAACTGGACAAACTACAACGGAACAACGGCAGAGGACAAACACAATTACTCCTTTCCCCTCAAGTACCTTTCGGCAAAAGGAGTGAGGGACTCCTGATGGAGTATATGGCCCGGGAACCCCCGGTCCACAGACTCCTACTACGCCAATAAAGGCCCAATAGGCCCAGGAAGCACAATAGGCCCAGATCACGGCGCCCAGAGTACCAAACAGCCCACAATGCGCACCAGGGATGCCTTCGGCCCCCTGGCCGAAGGCTCTGATTCTCACAGGAAGGTCAAAACAGGAAAACAAAGTTACTGGGAGAAAACGGCGAAAATCAGTAGCCCTCGGCACCTAGAGCCCTCGGCACTAAAGGGGTCCCCAGTACTCAGATCCCTCGGCTAGTCATCTACAGCCGAGGGCACCTTCCCCGACATAATATTCGCTCCACATGCGTATAGATCACCGTACCCAGTACGACGTCACATCCAACAGCCGCATTAAATGCGGCCACATGCGGTTGCCAGCGCCAACCAGTTGAGGTGACCCCTCGGCCAATGGGTGCTTTACACGTGTCCCTGTCTGGCATTTATTACTATTATAAATAGCACCCCATTTTCTCATTTGTAACCAGGACACAGCACGTTGAAAACGTTGAATACATTTCTAATATACTCTCTCTCTCTACTTACTTGCTCTGACTTCTCTCTAGTTATTCCCCGTAATAACCCCTCGGATAAGCTACCCCCCGGGTAGACTATCCATCAAGACTTTTTATCTTGGTTTCATTTTGATTGTGTGAGTGATGTTCTTGAGATGTTTAAGGTTGTTATGTGGGACATTATTTTTGTTGAGGGTCAAGTTCAGGATAGGACAAGTGACAAGGATTCTAGGTTGATCGTGGTTGGCTTACAATTGCATCTATGGAGATTAGCGAATCACATTACTTCTGTTGAAGTGATTGGTCCTAAAACTGGTCCAAGGACGTATGATCGAGCTATGATTCTAGTCTTACTAGCTTGTCTTTTCTCTGGTCTTGATGTTACTTGTGGGGATTCTAATATTTTAATATAAGCCGATTTCTTTCAAAAAAGATATTCGTCACATTTTATGTGTCCTACTTTGATTTGACACAATTATTAATAAAGTGGTTGAAAATGAAAAGGATGTGGTCGAGATTTAAGTATAAAAAGTGACATATTGTAGACCCCATATTTTTTCACAAAAATAAATGTAATACTTATTTTAAGACAACCCAAAAAGGAAAGGAAAAGATCAAATAGACTTATAGACTATTATACTATTTTCAACTCATCATTCAAGCTCTACTACTAAAAAACATCATATAAGTACACTTACTTTTGAAATACAACCAATCAAATCATTTTAACCTCTTATAGCAGGTTATTTGTTAAAAAATAAATTCGGACCATTGATAAGTCTTATAGAAATTTTATAAATTTTAAAAACAATATAATAATAATATTAAAAATAGTATAAGAGTCAAAATAGATAAATAATTTAATAAAATTGAATAAAAAAAATCTGAAATCTTAAAAAATAAAGTGAAAATGTAAAATATAGAAAATAAAAATTTAAAATCTTTTTGACAGATGGATAATATACAACTAATTTTAAAATTGCAAAATTTGACTTTGACATTTTTAAAATTTTCACAATTTTTATCTATATTCCTTTAAATTTAAATATTTTTTAAGTTTTTAAATACAAAAAACCTGCTATTACAAGTACAAAATTATTTAAATGGCCAAATTGATCAATATTTTAAATTAAGTATACTTATATGATACTTTTTTAGAAAAGGGGATTAAGTAATTGATTGAAATTAGTAAAAGGGCTTGTTTGACCCCCTTTCCCAAAAGGAAAATAGGACAGACGAAATGGGGTAAAGAGTGTATAATTTAAGATTTTTTTTATAAAAAATAAGGGGAAAACGTGAGCAAGAAGATATGCAACAAAGATATACATTATGCTCACTAAAAGTGCATTTACGCTCATTTAACCGAAGTAGATTTACGAACTCCTAGTTGAGCAATTTCTACTAATTAATTTGGTCTAATAGTTGGTATTAAAAAGGAAAATTATTAAAATATGTATATTGGCTTACAGTTACTCAACTATCAGTAGTCATTCGCCCCTAACGCGGCAAGTCTTTTAGGAGTGGATACGGTTTACTTGATTATTTGCACCAAATTGTACAAATGGTGGGCTCTAGAACAAGTATTCGGAACCAGACCCAAACTTAGGCCAATAATACAAGACCCCCCCCCCCCCCCCCCCCCCCCCCCAATACACTCCAGAATTCAACATAGAACCTATGAAGAATCAGAACCAAACAATACCATAGAGCACCACGGCATTTGCACTTATTGGTTTAGTGGGGTAGAAACCAGACCATGTCGAACTTCTAGTAATGTTGATGAAAACGCTTCAATTGGTAGTATTGAGGCTGTTTGTTTTCCGGCGGGTTGATACCTACACGCTGCAAAATGCAGCATTTGTAGTTCAAAAATATCAGCGTTATGTTAAAAACGAGACAATACCCAAACGGGGTCGTTATCTCATATGGAAAACCAATATTATCAAAATTCACATTAACTAAAGAAAATACTCCCTTCGTCCCAATTTGATGGTCTCATTTCTTTTGGGCACGAGTTTTAATAAAGTGGTTGAAAAGGTAAAAGTTGTGGTTGAGATTTGAATATAATAAAGTGAAATGATATGGACCACAACTTTCTTTCCAAAAAGGGAAACAGGACCATCATTTTTGGACATCCCAAAAAGGAAATAAAGGACCATCATTTTGGGACGGAGGTAGTACTGCTTATTAACCCCAAGGCCAATAAAGAAATAAACAGGATATAACAACCTACAGCAACTCTTTTTGTTTCTATAACAGTGCTAAATGCAATATGATGGATCATTAACAATCCAATGGCTTGGAAAAATGGTGACCATATTCATAACTTCAGCCAATTTTGATGAGGTTGCTTCCCTGATTGCTTTAACATGTACATGCAACTAGCTGCCATGAAAAGTCCAAAAGCCCCCATCGCTATGACAGTTGAATTTTCGATGTTATGATAATAACCTCGCTGCAACAGATGATGGTGTGGTCCCACAACAAATAGGTTAGTTAGAAATAATGATAAACAAAACACAAATCCAATTCAAAACTGATAACCATCAGTAAATTGTAATAGGTTAAATGAATATTATTTATCTTAAACAAAAAAATTCCACTATTGGTCCCTCACCCCCTCACTTTAAACATTTTTAGTTTGGGTACACAAGTACACAACTATGGATATCCGGATAAAACTAACCAGAAATGAGCAAGATAACTGGTCACAATGACTAGAAGTTATAAGGAATCCTTCGTTGTATACTAATTGTGGAAAACATGAGAAATGAAGAGCAAAAATGGGAAGGACTTTTCCATAGTCGCAAGAGGACTGAAGTGGAAACTTTTTTCTTAAATAATAAGGGTACTTACTTGGAGAAGAAAGAACAAGAGTGCAGCATTTGATGGGGCTAGAGATATACTCATCATCCCTGCACGACATTCATTTGGTACAAACCTGCAATAGAAAATTGCATTATGCATTATATGATATAAGGAATCCTCTAGAGGTCTGTTTGGAACTCGGACATTGCCAGGCAAAGAAAATAGGCAGGGAGAGAAATTTTGGAAGGAATTTGGGGGGATAAAACTACAAAAATGGATCGAACTTAAAAACACCTTTAGATTATTTTAAAGTTCATTTGTTTGTGTATACCTATTTGAGCTACTACTTGGCATACCCCCCACTATATACTACGGAGTATTACTTAAATTGGTCCTCTGCTTCTTTTAGAGCACAATATGAGCATCTAATATGCAATGTGAGCCCAATATAATGCTCATACAACCTTGGTTCTGAAATAAAAGGATATTTTTATTGAATGGCTATAACTAGACCTAATTTTGTCCTCAACTGTCACTATAACTAATTTTATGCAAGGAAATTATTTTCCACAAGTCATACCTGCAGTAAAATATGCATGAATAAATTGAGTCTACAATGCATTGTCAAGGATCAAGCTGAGTCCAAAAGGAAGTTGAAGAGCAACTGAGTAATATATATACAGCATAGTTCAGGGACTAATAAGGTATAAATTCTCCCCAATATATATAGAGAGAGAGGAATGATCATGTCCAGCCGGATGCACAGGTGCCTCCATCCCACCACCGCCGTTTGGGGTGGTTCCCGCTGGAACTTTTTGAGCATGTTCTTCATTAAGTCTAGTTTATGTCCACCAAACTTCAGCTTAAAATTCTCGAAACATACTACATCAAACTATACATATAAAAGCGCAGTGTTTTTCATTCATTTATTTAACTGCCTTCACGATTGAATTTCAAGCTGAAATCTGGTGTGCATAAACTAAACTTGATGAAGAACATGCTAAAAAAAATCATCAAAAAATTCCACCGGAAATCGCCCCAAGGCGGCGTCCGGACAGAGGATCCTGATGGACGGCTGAACAGGATCTTTTCCGTACATATATATAAACTACGGAGTATAAAACATAAAAAGTTATAATTACAATTGATTTTCCTTTGTATTTTCCAAGGTAAAACCATGGAACCAAACAAAAGAAAGCACTTCCATTGCATTTCTCTCTCTTTCCCTACCATTATATGAGTTTCAAGCATTGCCTCAACTAAAAAGAGCACAAAACAGTGAATGCTCCTGAATATGACCATTAGATTAGTAAAGAACAAGATGAAGCAGTGTCTATTACATGGTTCTTAATCTGGCAAGTGAAGGCAAAACCAGCCCCAAACACGCATGAAATAGACAGAACAGTACCAAAAGAGTTTCAATTTCCTGCAATCAAATCAAAAGTAAGAATGTCAGGTTAGAATATATATAACATAAACATTAATTTATTTTCATATATTTAACTTATTATTTAAATTGAATTAAGGCTTATTGCCCGATTTGGTCCCCACGCTATGTACTACGTAGCACTCCCTCCGTCCCGCTAAGATTGTCTCCTTTTTCCTTTTTGGCAAATCCCACTAAGATTATCTCATACCAAATTTGGTAAAGTTTGTGTGGTTCTAAATCATTCTTACTTTATTCTTACTTTATCAATTCAATATCACCCACATAAATTCACTTTTCTTAATAATCATGTCACCTCCTCATGTCCCAATATTGGTGGGACGGAGGTAGTATTACTTAATTTTGTCGAGCTTGCAATTTAGACTCAATTACATCTCTTGCATATTTAGCATAAATTAAGGGTATTTGTGTATGCTAAGGCAGGAAAATGGGTCCAAATTATATAGTTGAGAGCAAATGGAGTTAGAAATTGGGTCTAAATTTAGTCATGATCAATTGACCATCATCATCATCATTCCCCAGTGCTGCAAAAGCACTAACCTTCGGTGGGGTAAGGGGGTCGGATGTACACAATTTTACCCCTGTATTAAAGCAAACAGAGACTGTCTCCGGATGACCCATGGTAAAAATAGCGTCAAAAATTGCATGGACTTGCTGCTGCTTCATAACAAAGAAGCGCATATAGTTTAGGTAGCCATTTTTCTTTATTCCATCATATTCCCAAACCAAAAAATAGTGAGTCTTTGTCACCATGGCAAATGATGGACAAATTTAGTGAATGTACAAAACACTTCTTATTTAGAGCAAAATGTATGAAAGGTTGAGAACTAATTAGGTCCAAATTTAGTAGTTGAAGATCATATTGAGTAATACAGATTAGTATATAATCAAAGAGACTCTAAATCACTGTTAACTCGTAACTAACATTTAATAAATTATTACAAAATAAGTTCAACAAATTTACTACTACCTCCGTCCCTTTGGACATTGAAAGATTTGAATTGTGTGTTAAATAAGAAAAGTAAAAACTGTGTGCATATGAGAGAGAAATAAGCAGAATCACAGATTAACTACTATAAATGGAAAGTGGAAAAGTTTTTAGAACAACAAAAAAAGGAATGTTGACAAAGTCCAATAGGACAGAAGGAATATTTAAAAAATTAAAGGGATAACTGTCAAATAGGCCCTCATACTTGATCAAATACAGAAATTAAGTCCTTGTACTTTTAAAAACAATCAACTCCTCAAAGTTGTAAAAAAAACACCCAAATCCTCCATTTGGGAGGTTACTCTCCAGTTTCTCAGGTCATTTTGGATGACATGGATATATTTGTCCATTCAACTGCATTGTTGGCGCTGAATGGATATCCACTAATTTTTTATTTTCTTTTCCACTACACCTTTGTCTTCTTCAAAGTTTTATAAAAGCTCCTGCAATTTCATGGCCATACCGCCATATACTGTCTGACTTTTAGGCAATCACTTTCTCTTCGTTCAGCCCCATATTCTGCAATTCTCATGTCTAAAAGATGTGAAAGATAAATTGATTGGTTGGAGACGTGTTAATATGGATCTTTGCATCTCCCCTTCCCTATCAAGTTGTTTAGTTCATAAGATGTCTGGATAGAGAAGAAATTTTGACTCCCTCAAAATTACCGATATCTTTTGCCTGAGGTCATTGACCCCCTCTAAAAATACAACTCCCTCTAAATCATCATTGCCACCGTGAAGGTCATTGATGGAGATGGTGGCTATTAGCTCCAAGGCCCTCCTAGCTTTCTCTTCCCAATCAGTCCCCCAAAATCAGCAACATCATCAAAGCAGAACTTGCATCGCTAGTATTCCAATCAGTCCCTGAAAATCGAAACGGGCGGAGAAACCCAGCCACACCGCCACTAGAGTTCGGACAATGTAAAAAAGACTCAAGTTTATATTCGCCGTGAGCTTTGGCATCTACATTCTTCTCAATGCGTCGCACCTAGTTCGAGCTTACACAGCCCAGAGTGAAAAAATCTGAGAAAGAAAACCAGTGCGGCGGAAGATGCAGGTTGAAGCGGAAGAAAAAAAGAGGGAATTTATTAAAAAAAAACAAGGCCACATAGACAGTCATGGATTATCAGGAAACCAACAGTAGACTGGCTAATGGGCATATTTGGATACTTTTTACAACTTCATGAATTTGATTGGGTGTTTTTTAAGTACGAGGACTTAATTCACATTTTTATAAAGTAAGAGGCCATTCGCCAGTTTTTCCCTAACTTAAACAACAATAATAAGTTAACAAACTTATACACAATTAAACTTCAAGAAATATAACCAAATTTGGGGAGATGGGGGTAGAAAAGGGGATGATAAAGATACCTGATAGTCATAAGCTATGATGGACAGAACAGAACCCATAACAACAAAACTGTATACTAAGTATTCCTCAGTCCGAAGTGATAATGGTCCATTGAACCATGGAAAAGCAGTGCTGCCTAGCATTCTTGCACCAAGGAGACATGGGTATACCATCCCTAGCAAAACCTCTCTCCCATCACCCTATTATAATCACACAAACATGTTAACTTGCAATCCAAGAAACCAATGGAAACAACCCCAATCCCATTGAAAGATTATGTACCACTATAGTTGGAGCCCAAATAATCCAGAACACTGTGCTTGAGAAGTGAACACAAGCTTGTGCCCATGAAAGCAACCATACTCTTTTATCTAGAACAGCATAAAGTTATAGACAATTCATCAATGACAAGACCTTATAGATTTGTTTATTAAATATGGATTAAATATGGATGATAAAAAGCCATGTGCCTCTTCAGCTCCATTTGGTGCCATAATCGGTATGTTGATGCTTAGCGAAGTCAGCAGAATATGTAGGTTTTGACTTACTTAGAGCTCATTTGGTAGACATTTGCTTGGCTTATCTACATGTTTTTCACCAAACACTAACTTAATTTATTCTGCAGTCTGAATTGGCTGATCATGGAAAAAAATGGGACATGTCACTTGTTTGGCAGAAATTAAATATAATGATTTTTCTACATTCGCTTTGAGATATTATCTCCTTGAATATATTTGTGAAATGTATTTTTTATACATTTTTATATAATTCAGCCACAACTGCATCAAATTGAGTCACTTCAGAGACCTTACCAAACGGGGTCTTATTTGGCTGAACTGGATGTTACCAACCCCCTCATTTCAGCCAAAAAAACTTACCAACCAAGCCCTTGATGCATGTCAATACTCAACATACTGCAGAACTTTTTAAGAGAAATGGAAAGAGAAAGAAATAAACAAAAGGTTGCATACCAGTTAAAATATATTTATGGAATTTAATTTTATAATCTTCATATTTGACGGTTTGAGGCAACTCTTTCCATCCTTGACTGGCATATATGAGACCAAGAATTGATAGTATTGCAGCTGCAGTGGGAAGCAAGTTCGTGGTTGACCCTGAATTATTACCACCAATGAGCCAATTCCCAAGGGCTTGGCTAACAATAAAGGATGCAGATTCACAAAAGGACATTAGCCAAAACATGTCATTTAACGCATCCCGTCTGAGACCTTGCTACAAGTAAAGCATGATTAGTTTTGCATTAGCAACTATCACATCATCAGTAAGCAATACAAAGAAAAACATTGAGAGCACAGTTGGTATTTTAGCCTAGGATATGCTGAATCTGCTGAAAGTGCAGTAGAAATAGCTAAATCTAAATTATCTACAAAAAAAATCAAATATATCTTTAAGATATACTCCATATTAAAGGCAATACACCTTCCATCCCATTTTATGCGTACCACACATCGATTATTACAATTCAATTGTTGTAATATTTAATTTAACACAAACACATAAAACATACTTCCTCCTTATTTAAATAATTGCAACACTTTCCTTTTTGGCAGTTTCGAAATAATTGCAACCAGTCTTTTGGGTAATAAATAATAGGTAAAGTGACTTCAATACCCTTAATACATATACTTCACTCTGATTCTTCTTTGTTCTTTCCTTTCCTTCCCCAGTTACACACCCAATTAATGTTTACTCTCGCTCTCTCTCTCTCACCGCACATTTCTACCTTCTTCACTCTTCCTTCACCAAAGAGGCTACCAAGTACCACGGATGACCTATCTGCTTCATTTTAAATAATGAAGATGTAGATCTTTCGATTAGTGGTTATTATAAACAAATGCACTCAATCCATTTTAGATACAAATCTTAATGTCTTTTGGGTTTTATTAATTTCTGAGGTGATTTGTAAAGAACAAACCCATATGAATATGTCAGTTCTGCTACTTTCTTATTATAACAAAGGACAGCAGAGCACTGCACGGTCTGATGATGGGATACTGTAGCAGTTTTGGATGTTTAAATATTTACCCATGTAACCAAGGACATGAAAGGGAGAAAACAATTGAAGGACAGTGTTTTAATATCTGTGCCCAACTGAACAGTGCATCTATTTTCGAACGGAGGAAGTACATCTTAAAAGTTAAAAGTTCAAAACTACATTAAATTGTTCATAAAACAGGCAGTGACATGACTATTTGATTATAAAAGAAGCTCAAAGAAACTAAGCTCGATAAAGATGCTGTTAGAACAACGAATGGTAACTAAACAGATAAAACGGGAATGGAGTAATATCTAAAAATGAAGATTAGAGTGCCAATTTCATGAATTTTAGCTATTTTACGTTTGTGCTACTTTTTCTCATTAAAGTTGATTGAAAAAGCGCGACGAAAATAAGTTAACTTTTAGTGGAAACCCTGGCTGATAATGGCAGTAAGCCAAAACTAAAACCCTACCAAACAGGCACTGGAATTGTAGAATACACCAGAATTGACAAACCTTTTCGTGCTCAATTACCATCCACGTTTCAAAGTTGAAGTGAAAAATTGAAGAGGACAGAGACAGGCAGACGTTGGCAATCCAAAGACTGGGATTTGCAATAACCTTCTTGCAGATGACTACAAAGAGATGCAGCATGTAAAATAACAAACACAGTTTCTTCTGGCCACTGCAAACAAAAGAATAATAACAATTACACGAAAGCATGGACTGCATATTGATTATGGAAATTGGTCATCGACAGTTTTCTTTTAATACCCATATCTATGTGCTTTGAGAAGTTAAATTATATTTAGGATCCAACTGGAACCCAGAAATACTTGTGAAGGAAAATAGGTGTGAAGTTGGAATGGAAGGAAACTTTGGTGAAATACAAGATTCATCCAAACTCAATGAATTCCTCTAATACATACACACACACACACACACACACACACAAATTCATTCCATTTATTAATTCGTATGTTATAAACACTAAAAGATCTGAATATATGTAGAAAGAGAAACAAAATTCATCATACTTTGTTTTTGTTTACACTTTTAAAGGCAAAAACAATTACAAGAAAATAAGATTCATTGGCATTTTCTGTTCCATTTGACAATATTTACCCGAGTCCAAACAAGCCCTTTGGAAAACAATCTAGGAAATTCTTTCGAGAATTAATGGGTTTATTACATTAAATCTGACAGTACCCCCAAAAAGGAGCCAACAAAGAGAGCAGCTGCACATCCAAGGCACATCCACAACACCATCACATCCTTGCTAATTCCATAATATATCATTTCATTCTCCCCAAACACTGCCCATAATCCTTCTATCACTGTAAAAAAAATACTTCCTTTGCTCAATAGAAGTGAAAAAAAAACACGCCAAAATTAAAAAACAATAATAAGTTCAGTATAAGTTCAAAGTCTCCTCCCTGTATCGGTTAACTGTTGTATAAGTGTTTTGACCATAATTGCTTTATAACTTAAGGATACTTATTCAGTTTTCTACCAACCCTTCTTTATTCCTTGAAAGTAGTCATCCCAAACGCTCCTCTAATTTGTAAATGATCAAGAGAAAGTGATGTCTACCTGAAGTGAGGGAGAATAGGAAAAGGAAGCTTCTTTTGGAGTTAGAGAAGGAAGGTGAGTGTGAATGGTCAAAGACATTGAACGCCCTGCCACTAGAGTTGACCCGGAAACAGCATATCGATAGCAAAGATGATGCAAAGAGGAAGATGTACAGTGCAGGGTTTGGGACCCACGCATCGGTCCCACTCATCTTGCAGAGAACAGAATGTGAGCAGAAATCTCAAATCTGGAGATGACGGGAGTGTGCACGAAACTACACAATTTCGTTTAGCAGTTTTTCTCTGAAACAGTGGCGGAACTAGGCCGGGGTAAGACGGTACTGCGCCCCTCAAGCTCCTGCGGTCTTCTACCTCGGGTTCTAGTGGAATTACTGGTGCAAAACTGATCTGGCATAGCTTTGGTTTAGTTTTTGAAAAAAAAAAACCTGATAGGAGGTTCGGTATGATACGGAGGGGTTCCCGGGGTATTTTTCTATAAAATTTGTGAATATAACTGCACATTTATCTTCAACAATTTATTTTAATGTCTTTTCTATTGAAGTTTTAACTGAAAATTGATATGAGTAAACTAGACTTACTGAATAAGATGCTCAAAAAATTTCATTGAAAATTTCCACCGGGAATCGCCCCAAATGGGGTCGGCCGGAAAGAACCTCATATATAAGGTCTTATTTGACATTTTTTTGTAAGTTCGAGGTCTTATTTGACCTTTTTCCCTCATAAATATTTTTTTAATACGATAAACAAAAAAATCACTAATACTTATTAAGTTAATGTAATGTAAATTTTAAACATAATTATAATATTGAATAATTATTAAGTCTTCTTTTTGTCCATTACATTCTTTTAACTTATCTAGATTACGTCGTGACATTTTTAATAGTTATTGAGTTTTTTGAATAGACAATCTGCAATCATGTATCTCTGTCCTCTACCATTTCTACCGGTTGATATTTTGCATATTTTTATTATTCACTTTTATGGAGTGATTCCATCAATAATGAATAAATTTAATTTGACTTGATTATGAAAATTTTATCTTCATGTGTTTGCCGTTTCATTGATACATTGTATATAGTTTATATAATAGTTAAATGATTAAATTGATCTTTTATTTATTTAAGACACAAAAGTCATTTTTGTAATTATACTAGTATTTAAAAAACATAGATCACTTCTGATTTACCATTTTACCAATTACTAAATGTGATTAATTTTTTTAGTTTTATTTAACACCATTTTTTTTAGTTGTGAAAGCTTCCCAAGGAGAAAGCTGATCTTTGATGGTGGACATTGACAACTAAATTAGTTATTCGAAAAGGAAATTTTAACTTTGAATTAGAAATCATATTGTTGAAAATTAGGCTCACGCCCAAATACCTCAGGTTGTCCAATTAGCATACGGGTCTGGTTCCTAGTCCGCCCAGATCAAGACCTTGACCGAGATGCCATATGGGCCCCGCCGTTCAGGCTAAACTTCTCATTTGGTGTCTTCTCTGGATCCATAAATGTCCAAGGAGGATCTCCCCAAAACATTTGACAAGAAAGTTATAGTCGGTGGGAAATGCATTTAATGCACTAGATGTGATGAATTTTATAGTTGGGGCTGTGACACTTCAAAAATTTAAATAAAAATAAAAATAATTTTTATTAGTCAGATAAAATATTACGAAAATAACATTTTAATAATTAATTGAGTCAGACAAAAATTCAACAGTTGTAACATTCTAATCAGATAAAATTTCAAAATTTATGACGTTTTAGTCAGATAAAAATATTTCAGTAATAGGAACAACATTTTATTAAACAAGTGAACCAGACAACAGAAAATTAACATTTGTGACATTTTTAGTCTGATAAAAGCGGTCCGATAATAGAAGTAACGTTTTATATCAAATACCACTTATACATATGGCACAAGAAGTAAAAGTTATATTTTAATTTATGTATAAAAATACACAAATAATATAGTAGTATATATACTCCTAATAACTAAGACGTACAAAGCTACGTAAGCACATATATACAAAATGAGTTATTAAAAGCCCAAGGGATATACACCCATATAGCATGATCCTGAACTGATTATCAACTACGTTCAATAACCTACAGAAGCATAAACACTTCGGTATTATCTCTTTGGTAGGCAAACCAACCGTAACCCATGAGATAGAAACGGGTGGGAAGAAGCTGTTTATATTAAACTCAAACTCTAACATCTCAGCCTAAAACCCTCGACCTACACCTATAAATAATAGCCTAGGATATATAAAATTGCGACCCATCGTTTTAGCCAGAACCAAGCCCTGAAAACATCTCTGAAACCTTCCCCTTCGTGAGACGAATCCAACGGAGAAAGAATCGTTGAAAACGGTCGTGAAACGAGGGAGAAAAAGCCTCGCCGGAGTTCACCGGGCAAACTTCCACGGCGGAGAAACGAGGAAGAAGGGGGACACCGCCGCTGCCGCCAGTCCATTGCCGACCGTCTCCAACCCAGGAGGAGCACCTACCGCTGCCGTTCATGCGCCACGAAGTAAGTCCCTTTCCCCTCTGCGTTTTCACGTCGGTTCCGGCGATTCAACGAAGAAGACGACCCAGCCAAGGCTGGGGTCTGTCTTGTGGGCTTAATCTTTGGGCCAGAAAAATTAAAAGAATTTGGGCCAGTCCGGCCCAGATGCATTAAAAATTAAAAATAAAATAGTAAATTAATTAAATAAAATCTGGAAAAATATAAATTAAATACCTAGTATAAATATACGTATTCGGACCAACCATAATTGAAAGATAATATTTTTAGCTATTTTTAATGGATTTAATTGTAATTGGGCCAATTTATACACATTTAGTAAATAATTAACTAAATGACGAAAATAATTAGGAAATAAATATTGGAGTAAACTAGGATAAATATATGACTAACTAGGACCTTATGGACCATTTATAATTAATAAAAATTAAGATTTAGTATATTTAATTGTAATTGAACCGGTTAATAGATATATGAAATTAAAGGAATAATTATGGAAAATAATTATAAAATAGATATCTGGACAACCTAGGTCAAATATAGACCCAAAATATAGTTATAGACGGTTACTAATTTATAAAGTCAATTCTTAGGCTATTTAGTTTAATTGAGCCATATAAAACTGGTTAAGTAATTAAATAAGGAGATTTTATATTGATGGTTTAATTAATAAAAATTGGTAAACGAATATCGCATTAAAATAATAATTATTTATTTGGGCTTAATAACATGATTAGATTAAATAAAATTGGATAGACATTAATTTCACTAATTATTGGATTAATTGAAGTAGATTAACAAAATTAACATAATTACGGACTCGGAAATATTAAGTGTATGATTAATAAAATTAATTAAGTTGATGATGATTAGTAATTTAAATAAATGTTATAATTTTCGGATGTACTATTAATGTTGATTAAGGTAATCCTGAGAATTGAATATTTTATTATAATTCGGACTTTTACATATTTATTGAATTAATGGTATAGGTGATTAATAATAAAAAGATTTTGATAAACTGAATTAATTATTTAATACCTTTTATTATCGGACTAGATTATAATTAATAAAGGATTGTTATATTAATGACTGAATTAGTTTAAAATAGCTTAAATAATAAGAGACAATTATTTGGTACGAAAATATAATTGAAGTACTTTGAATATGTTCATGAGTTGTATATTTTAATAATATTAAAATATAATCAATTATGTGGATGATTTATAAGTAGAATGATGATATTTAAATTAAAAATGGGATGTTGAAGTCAACTATATTCGAATATTTCATTTAATTAGAAAATTCAAATATGATAATGAAATGCTGAATTAATAAGGTAATTTGATTAATAAAAAGTGATTAACTCGAATAATTAATTAAATTAATAAATTCGAAAAATACAATAAAGGAGAAAATCGGGTAAGTAATTACAAATAGAATAAGTGACTAATTTTATTTAATTAAAAAGGTGATTATATAGAGACCGGATTAGAGGAGGATAACTAGGAGCATCAGGACTTAAGGTAAGTTTCTTTGCCAATCCAAAATTGTTTCCTCGTATTATATGCTTATTATGCATTATGTGATTAAGTGTGAATTGTAAATTTTGTGTATGTGATTTTGAGGAGATATTATATATATGGTAGTTAAGAAATATAAATCAAGTACTTTTGGGGTATTGAATATTTTTAAATACCTTCGAGACTTTTAGAGAAATTAAGAAGTATTTTTGAAGTATTGCTTAAGCGAAGATAAAATTTACATTTTCATAAGAAGTGAGCATCTCGGGAGTAATCTGAGGTGTCGGTTTTCCACATCCGGATAAATGTGGAGGGTGATTAGAGCTACTACTACTAAGAAGTAAAGTTTAAGTTTCAAGTGACATTTGGATCTATGATCCCTTTTAAGAAGAAGTTATAGTAGTAGTCCCTAATCATTCAAGAATTTTAGAGGTGGGGTGGTTGGGTTCCGACCACTCGGGATGACTTACTACTCGGAGGGCTTGGAATCCCTTTTAGGGGGGGGGTGCACACTTAAGGTAGTCGTTTCGTTTCCGCAAGAGCAATTGTGGTACCGGCACTTGTTCGGGTGGCCGTCCGTAATCACGGTCCACCGGGCTCAGTCGAAAGGTTGAGCACCGCCCTTCTAAATTACTAGAAAGTTAGAGAATAAGTGATTTTCTTAAGAAATCTAAAGAGAAGAATTACTGTGATATTTTCCAAGAGAAGTTGAAGATTTTAGCAAAGAAGTGATTTTAAGAAAAATCAAAGAGCAAAGTATTTTGGTGGAGTGCGTCATTTTTATATAATATTATATAAAAATCTATTTTAGTGAAACCTGATTATTTTACGGGGTTGGGTAGTACTTACTTAGCTCTAAAGCTAATTTTTGTTATTTCTCTTGTCTCTCTCTTCTCCCTTAAATTTTATCAGGTGATGAGTTGGATGCCTATGCGGATTGATGGATTGCTCGAGCTTGAGTGCGAATTAGAAGATGCCTTAGTTAAATTTAGTCATGAAATAAACATTTATTTACTATTTCATTAGTTTTATTGTTTTGTTTTGGTTTGCCTGTGCATTCGGTTAAGAGATGACCGGATGTGGCGGTAACACCCATTTCCCTTTTAGACTTCCGCTGTATTTCTTCAACTCTTTGATGAATGAATAAAGTATTTCTTTTAAATGTATCATTGTTTTGGGTGGGAAATTTTTGGGGTGTTACAGGGGCTATCCATTCAAGTATAAATAGGAACACCTATTCCATTTAAAGGTTCTCAAACTTACATACTCAGCAATATACTTATCCCTAATTCTTCTATAATCTTAAAAGTGATCTAGAGGGTCGGAGCTCAAGCTCGACATAGGTGTTGTAATTGTTCTAAGTGCTTCATAGAACTTGGCCTACTTTGTCTCTTATTTCTTTGGTATTGCATATGTCTCATACTTGTCTTTCACGTTCACTAATAACCCATTGAAGAATCTGACGAAAGCTCAAGGGATTGTGTTAGGCCTTTGAACCGCAAGGACGTAACATCAACACATATCTTCCTCTCTCCTTTATTAAATTATTTTCTTTTTTTGGTTTATTAATATTTAAAAATAAGATAAGGGTATTTTCATCTTATTATATCGAAAGTCATATAGTTAACTAAAACTCGTATGGTTATCGATTGAGAAAGTCTAAATCTATAATCACATATAGGTAAAATCTCAAATTTTAATGGTTATATATCTCTCTTCCATACGTTCAAACAACTGACAACCTCTCCAGTTCTTGAAAAAATTTATTAATGTCTGTGTCACCATACTATTTTTCGATCTTGTAGAGCACCTCCAAAATCTTTTAACACATTCAACTTGCCATAATGCAATGATTTCAAGTTTAATTTCACAATTGAATACGAATCAGAAAATACTATCAAATGCTTTCATCTTATCAAATCTACTTCGTGAAGAATTTAATACACCCATCATATATAACCTAGACTAGATTAATTTAAAAACATGTAAAGTGTTAAGATTTGAATAAGTACAAGTATTCACATACAAGAAAATCTGTAGAAAGAGTGGGGCTTAAAAAGGAAAAGAAGCATATCCAATGAATACATAAACAAATAATAATGGGCCAAAAAAGTTTCTAGTTTTACAAGCCTACAAGCCTCTAAATATAGCCCAGTTTTTACTAAGCACGGCCTCTTTTTTTAATTCGTTTTAAACATACCGATTAAGTTTACAAACTTACCCTTTCTAACACTATTTTCTTTTATACTGGTAAAGCGAGAACCAAATGTATCTATGCTCTGTATGTCTTCCATGGCTGGGCATCAACTCCTTAAACAAGCCTCAATCTCGTGGAGGAGGTGGAGGCTACGGAGTGGACGTCAGGCGGCTGGTAGCAGTGGGCAAAAGGTGGTGGGGGAGTCGAAGAGGTTATGGAGGCCAGGAGGTGGATGTGATCAAAGTTATGGTAGTGGTGGCAGTGGTTATGGCGACGGCAAGGTTACTGATGGAGCTAAGCTTCTTTCATCGGGTCTTCATTTGAATATCACACGGAAACTGCTCGTGCTTCGTTAAATTCATGCTCTCAGTTGCTTTCTGGAGTCATGGTTGGAGTATTGCAAACAAATGATTGTTAGATGTGTTTGGAAACCCTTTACACCTTCTTCGACTATACACCTCAAGGGAATTTCTGTTTAATTTGGTGCACATTTCAATTGGGTTTTAAAATTAACTTGGCTTTTAAACAAATCAAAACTAACAATTGCTCATCCAATAATTCAGACAAAGATGTAACATAGTGAGTGGAATTTCAGATATCTCCGGCGAAGTGGGGGAGAGCATCTCCATCGGTTGAGATGCTGAAGCAACATGGTTGATGAGCGAGAGAGTGTAGTGGCATACTATAGGTATGGATGGACCGGGACTGGTTTCACCGGCCCATGAATCGGCCCGGCCCGGTACTGTTTAGTACCGAACCGGATCGCCAGCCGGGACCGGTACAGGTCCATGAGGCCCGAACCGAGGGTAGGGGGCGGGCTACGGGTTGAAGAATAAGGTGACCGGCTCGGCCGGTCCGGGACCGGTCGGGCCAACGGTCATATTTTAAAAAAAAAAGCTTTAAATGGCTTTGGGGGGTGGGTGTCCAAACGGCTCTATAGCCGTTGGAGCCTGTGGGAGGGCGAGGTTGGGGGGTTTGGGGGTGGGGGTAAAAAACTTTAAATACTTCTAATTTCTAAATATTTTTCTACACCTATTCTTCAATTGTTCCTACTCTCTAATACCCTTTAATCATCTCCAATGCTCCATCTTCATCTTCTCCAATTCTCTCATTCTCTCTACACCTATTAATATATATCATATGATTCATATCTATTTAAATTAGTTATACAATTATTATATCTACTTATATACTTCTTCCGTCCCTTAAAACTTTGCCAAGTTTGACCGGCACGAGGATTAATAAAGTAAACACTGTGTGATTGAGGTTTGTGGAGAGGAGAGAGAATTAACTGGAACCACAAATTCTTTACAAAAAAGAGAAAGTGGCAAAGTTAATGGGACATCCAAAATAGAAAATTTGGCAAAGTTTTAAGGGACGGAGGGAGTATTTATTATCAACTTATAAATACATATATTATATCTACTTATATTTATTATCTACATAATATATACTTATTCTCTACTTAATGTCTACTTATTATATACTTGTTATTTACTTATATTTACATATTATATCTAATTAATATATTAGTATATATATTAAATTATTAAATATAAGTGTACTACTCATCTTATAATAGTATACTTATATATTATATACTACAAACATTATATTATATATTAGTATACAATTATTATATCTACTTATATACTTATTATCTACTTATAAATACATATTATATATCTACTTGATATATACTTATTATCTACTTAATATCTACTTATTATATACTACGTACTTATTATTTACTTATATTTCCATATACTACATCTAATATATTGAGTATATATATTAAAGTATAAAATATAAGTGTACTACTCATCTTATAGTAGTCTACTTATATATTATATACTATAAACATTATATTATATATTAGTTACACTTTAATTAATATTAGTTAAATTTATCCTATTACTTACACACTCACACTCCTATTAATTAGTATACATTCATACACTTTTTCATTAATATTAGTTAATTATTTAATTGTTACAATTTTCATTTTGTCACCTTTAATATTTGTCACATTCTCAACATCGATGTTGGGATTTTCTCAATTTATGCATGTCATTTTTAGTTGCATTTGTTAACTACACTGATAGAGTATATAGACTCGGACCCCGGGTCTCACGACTATTGGACCCGGACAACGGCCCACGTACACTCAGCTGATAGCATTTTCATTATTGTACATTATTATTATTCAGGTGTTCTAGATTAGCCTTTTCTATTATCAGTCCATTTATGTAACCGGGTCTGTCAGACCCATATTAGAGGCCTAGACCCGGATATTCTTCTATATATACTCCCTTAGGGAGTTCTTGTAAACCCTAACTCATAATTCATACACAATATCATTTCTACTATTCATCTTCCTCACATGATCTCAAATCTCTCCATTTTATTATAGTTTGGATACCCCTATAATCCATCAATGGTGCTTTCATTGAGAGATTAGAGCACAATCAAGTGAGAAACCCTCCCAAAAATATCAAAAACTTCATCCAAAATAAGAGAACTCAGTCAAAAACGGAGCTGGAAATGTCAAGAACAACAAAGATCAATCTGAAAAAATCTAGATCCAGGTGAGAAAAGTCGCTGCAGAGGTCGTCGGACGCCGCCACGACAGAAAATTGCCGCTGGAACTCACCGACCTGTTCACTGATCTCGCCGGCCTTGGAGTTGACGCCGGACGCAATTTGCTGAAGCTTGCCGCTGCTCCAGTAGGAGCAGATCTTGAAGTCTCCTGAGCCGGAGCTATCATCGCAGTCTTCGAAGCCGTCGTGCAAGCAAACACCTGCGGATGCCCCAGATCTCGCCACCAACGTTGAAGCATCGCCGTCCATATCTCACCGGCACTGCTCCAGGATGCGCCGTTGCTCCGGATCTGATTTCCCAAGGGCGGTCCACCATTAATGGCCGTTTGGGAGCTCCTGGAAGGGATGTTCGACCTCGCGTTCAGGTTCTCCACCTTCTCCACAGCGTTACAACCAACGCTTGAAGTTTGCTTCTTCACCGGTGCCGCCAAGCGTAGCTCCGCGATCGTCTAGTGAGCCCTCCATTAATGGCCACAGCAATTTCCCTGTTCAAAGCTTCCACTCCAGATCTCGCCGGAGACAGGGCAACGTCGAACGGAGCAGCAGCAGTTCCGACGAATCTTTTCCACTCTCCGGCGACGCCCAGGGACGAGAATCTATGATGATTTCACGCGCCCTCACTCCTCTGACAGTGACCGAAAACCCACCGCAAAAATGGCCGGCAGAATGCCCTGCGACCAGCGGCAGAGGTATCTCCTCCTCCATTTCTCCTATCTCATTCGCAGAAGCCAAAAGGATTTGATGAATGGGCCCTAAGTTGACCCAATCAACTGTTGAAGATGCTTGGAAACTTTCAGCCAAGATGGCAGCAGTAGTAAATCGGTGATGGGCCACAATTTCTTCATCAGCCCACAGTTCAGCCCATTTCACAGCTAAGTGCCCAATATTCCTATTTATACATTTAAAATGTTTATTAAGTGATAGTAGTATAATTATTACTATTATTAATTATATTATTTCCACCACCATTATGGCGGGTTAAAAACCCCGAGGTGGTGAAGACCATTATGAGGGATTAAAATTTCCCGAGGTCGCTAATGAGAATTTATTATTGGCGTTATTATTTTTATCACTGCCATTAGACCGGGTCAAAAAATCCCAAAGTGGTGGACCCGAGCTCTAGCCTACCGAACATCTTTATTTGATGATTTGAATTATATTTAGGTCCACCGATCTACCCTAGTCACCTTTATTTGGTGACTCGGACATCTAAAAATGAGAGCCGCTACCGGCCGCACGTGGCATTATGCCCGAGAGCGGTAAACGGTACACCTCGTTCTCCGAGACGCTAATTGCGTCGCCCAAAAGCCGTTGCCATGAACAACGCACCTATTGTATTCCGCTTATTTTTTGGAAATGTAAATAGAAGATACCACATGTCGTATCAGCAGCCTTCGAGCGAAAGGCTCGGGTCTGCTCCACTTTGTATTTTGCATCAGCGAAAGGCTCAGGCCCAGCTGAGAGAGCACGTCGTATCGGCCCCTTAGAGCGAAATGCTCAGGCAGGGCCGACGATGTCCCCAGAACGACGGGCCCGCAAACGGCCCACGTCTTGAAATGGGAAGTTCATCGCGTCGTCCACGCGCCCGATCGCAGGACGACAGGCCTGAAATCATGGCCGAGGTGACAAAATCCCCAAACTCAGGGTCGGGCAACGACAGCCGTTGGAAACCAACCAAAAGTCTAGCCCGCGTCATAAATAGGCGACGGGACCCCCCCTGAGATCACGGACGTTATAAACGAAGTCCGAACCGGCCGAAGGACTAGCGACCCCTTCGGCCGAAGCCTGAAAGAAGGACACTCCCTGAAATGGGGAACGAAATCAAAAAAAAAAGGAAAAGAAAAGGAAAAAGAAAAAATAAAAGAGGGAAGCCGAGGACCGCACGCACTCACCGGCCTCGAGCAACAAAAAATGAAATCCCCACAACAATACTAAGTACATATCAGGCAAACACTACACATTATGGACGAAGCAAGACCATACATGCGGATTAGACGAGCGCCCAGCGCCGTCCATCATCTTAGACGAGCGCCCAGCGCCGTCCTCCATTTGTAGACGAGCGCCCCGCGCCGTCCTTCATCTTCAGACGAGCGCCCAGCGCCGTCCATCATCTTAGACGAGCGCCCAGCGCCGTCCTCCATTTTTAGATGAGCGCCCAGCGCCGTCCTTCATCTTCAGACGAGCGTCCAACGCCGTCCTTCATTTTTAGACGAGCGCCCAGCGTCGTCCCTCATTTTCAGACGAGCGCCCAGCGCCGTCCATCATCTTCAGACGAGCGCCCAGCGCCGTCCCTCATTTTCAGACGAGCGCCCAGCGCCGTCCTTCATCCTTAGACGAGCGCCCAGCGCCGTCCTTCATCTTCAGACGAGAGCCGTCCATCATCTTAGACGAGCGCCCAGCGCCGTCCTCCATTTTTAGACGAGCGCCCAGCGCCGTCCTTCATCTTCAGACGAGCGTCCATCGCCGTCCTTCATTTTTAGAAGAGCGCCCAGCACCGTCCCTCATTTTCAGACGAGCGCCCAGCGTCGTCCATCATCTTCAGACGAGCGCCCAGCGCCGTCCCTCATTTTCAGACGAGCGCCCAGCGCCGTCCTTCATCCTTAGACGAGCGCCCAGCGCCGTCCTTCATCTTCAGACGAGCGCCCAGCGACGTCCATCATCTTAGACGAGCGCCCAACGCCGTCCTCCATTTTTAGACGAGCGCCCAGCGCCGTCCTTCATCTTCAGACGAGCGTCCAGCGCCGTCCTTCATTTTGAGACGAGCGCCCAGCGCCGTCCATCATCTTAGACGAGCGCCCAGCGCCGTCCCTCATTTTCAGACGAGCGCCCAGCGCCGTCCCTCATCTCAGACGAGCGCCCAACGCCGTCTATCATCTTAGACGAGTGCCCAACACCGTCTCTCATCTCAGACGAGCGCCCAACGCCGTCCATCATCTGAGACGAGCGCCCAGCGCCGTCCCTCATTTTCAGACGAGCGCCCAACGCCGTCCATCATTTCAGACGAGCGCCCAGTGCCGTCCTTCATCTTCAGACGAGCGCCCAGCGCCGTCCTTCGTCCTTAGACGAGCGTCCCGCGCCGTCCCTCATCTCAGACGAGCGCCCAGCGCCGCCCCTTAGACGAGCGCCCAGCGCCGTCCCTCATCTTCAGATGAGCGCCCAGCACCGTCCCTCATCTTCGGACCAGCTCCACCGTCCTTCATGTTCAGTCCAACGTCAATGCCTTACCCTTCCTCATATCACGACCGGCCCCTCGGCCTCGGCGTGATCATCTATCTTAAGACCGGCTTCCTCAGCGCCGCGAGTCTTGAGCTAGCGATCGGGCTCACCACCCCTTCCTGGATGGTGACCATCGCCTTTATATGACGATCGGCTTCATCAGCGCCTCGTCATCACATTATAGGACCGGCCCCTCATCGCCGTTGTCCTCACATCACGACCAGCCCCTCGGCCTCGGCGTGATCATCTATCTCAAGACCGACTTCCTCAGCGCCGCGAGTCTTGAGCTAGCGATCGGGCTCGCCATTCCTTCCCGAATGGTGACCATCGCCTTTATATGACGATCAGCTTCATCAGCGCCTCGTCATCATATTATAGGACCGGCTCCTCATCGCCGTTGTCCTCACATCACGACCGGCCCCTCGGCCTCAGCGTGATCATCTATCTCAAGACCGGCTTCCTCAGCGCCGCGAGTCTTGAGCCAGCGATCGGGCTCGCCATCCCTTCCCGGATGGTGACCATCGCCTCTATATGACGATCGGCTTCACCATCGCCTCGTCATCATTATTTGGACCGACTCCTCATCGTCGTTGTCCTCGCATCACGATCGGCCTCTCGACCCCGGCGTGATTATCTATCTCAAGACCGGCTTCCTCAGCGCCGCGAGTCTTGAGCCAGCGATCGAGCTCACCATCCCTTCCTGGATGGTGACCATCGCCTTTATATGACGATCAACTTCATCAGCGCCTTGTCATCATATTATAGGATCGGCTCCTCATCGCCTCGTCCTCACATTTAGACCGGCCCCAGCGCCGAAGTCCTTATCTAGTGACCAGGCTCGCCATTCCCTTCCTGGATGGTGACCGTCGCCTTCATATGACGCATGGCTTATCATCGCCTCGTCCCCATATTCAGACCGGCTCACCAGCGCCATCGTCCCCATATTCGGACCGGTTCATCAGCGCTGTCGTCCTCATATTCGGACCGACTCATCAGCGTCGTCGTCCTCATATTCAGACAGGCGTCCACCGCCTCGTCCCCCTATTCAGATATATCGAACATCTTGCGGTCTCCGGCTGAAAGGCTAAAGGAGCCCAGAGTTCAGCCATATATCGCTCTGTCATCTTTATTTGATGATGAAGAGCTCATTTGTAGGCCCATCGGCCATATATCGCTTTGTCATCTTTATTTAATGATGAAGAGCTCATCTACAGACCCATCGGCCATATATCGTTCTGTCATCTTTATTTGATGACGAGGAACTCATTTGTAGGCCTCTGAGCCACATCTTGCTCCGTCATCTTTATTTGATGACACGAAGCTCAGTTGCAGGCCCATCGGGCATATATCGCCTCGTCATCTTTATTTGATGACGCGAAGCTCATTTACAGGCCCCTCGGCCATATTTCGCTGTCATCTTTATTTGATGACAAAGAGTTCATCTAGAGGCCCATCCGCCATATATCGCTCTGTCATCTTTCTTTGATGACGTCGAGCTCATCTACAGGCCCATCGGCCATATGTCGTTATGTCATCTTTATTTGATGACGTAGAACTCATTTGTAGGCCTCTGAGCCATACATCACCCCGTCATCTTTATTTGATGACGTGGAGCTCTGATGCAGGCCTCTCGGCCATACATCACCCCGTCATCTTTATTTGATGATGTGGGGCTCTCATGTAGGCCTCTCGGCCATACGTCGCCCCGTCATCTTTATTTGATGACGTGGAGCTCTCATATAGGCCTCTCTCGGCCATACATCACCCCGTCATCTTTATTTGATGATGTGGGGCTCTCATGTAGGCCTCCCGGCCATACGTCGCCCCATCATCTTTATTTGATGACGTGGAGCTCTCATATAGGCCTCTCTCGGCCATACATCACCCCGTCATCTTTATTTGATGACGTGGAGCTCTGATGCAGGCCTCTCGGCCATACATCACCCCGTCATCTTTATTTGATGATGTGGGGCTCTCATGTAGGCCTCTCGGCCATACGTCGCCTCGTCATCTTTATTTGATGATGTGGAGCTCTCATATAGGCCTCTCTCGGCCATACATCACCCCGTCATCTTTATTTGATGATGTGGGGCTCTCATGTAGGCCTCTTGGCCATACGTCGCCCCGTCATCTTTATTTGATGACGTGGAGCTCTCATTGAGGCCTCTCTCGGCCATACATCACCCCGTCATCTTTATTTGATGATGTGGGACTCTCATGTAGGCCTCTCGGCCATACGTCGCCCCGTCATCTTTATTCGATGACGTGGAGCTCTCATATAGGCCTCTCTCGGCCATACATCACCCCGTCGTCTTTATTTGACGACGTGGAGCTCTTATGCAGGCCCCTCGGCCGCACCATCGCCCCGTCATCTTTATTTGACGACGTGGAGCTCTTATGCAGGCCCCTCGGCCGCACCATCACCCCGTCGTCTTTATTTGACGACGTGGAGCTCTTATGCAGGCCCCTCGGCCGCACCATCGCCTCGTCGTCTTTATTTGACGACGTGGAGCTCTTATGCAGGCCCCTCGGCCGCACCATCGCCCCGTCGTCTTTATTTGACGACGTGGAGCTCTTATGCAGGCCCCTCAGCCGCACACATTGCCCAATCGTCTTTATTTGACGATGTGGAGCTCTATGCAGGTCCCTCGGCCATACATCGCCTCGTCGTCCTTATTCAACAACGTGGAGCTCTCGTACAGGCCTCTCGGCCCATCGGCCTTACGTTCTGGTCATCTTTATTTGATGAACCAGACATCATATTGTGGATGGTCGCTCGACCCATCCCTTAGTCATCTTTATTTGATGACTAGGACTACTGATCATGATGAGCTACCCACATCCAGAGATCGGCCTCGACCATCCCCCCAGCAGACGGGCACCGTTGCAGCTCCATCTCCAGGCCGAAGGGTCCGCACCTTTTGTTTCATTTTGGGGGCATCCGGTGTACTCTTTTTCCCTCAATAGGTTTTTTTCCCACAGGGTTTTTCCTAATGAGGTTTTTAACGAGGCATCTCCCCATCATGGATCAAAAGGTGTCAACCCTCGGCCCCCTGTTGAAGACATCATCCGACACGCATTACTCTACTCCTCTTCACCTCATTACACTCGCCTCAAGGAGTGGGGGACTGGAAGAGCGGGGGACTTAGCGCCTCCGTTAACCAAAGAAGCAGAAATTCAAATTTTTGTTCATGAAGTTTACTCATCAGACGGCGACAGATCAGCACACAGTTCTACTCTCTTTCGCCTCGAATACTCTCGACTCAGAGAGTGGGGGACTCCTGATAGAGTATATAGACTCGGACCCCCGGGTCTCAAGACTATTGGACCCGGACAACGGCCCACGTACACTCAGCTGATAGCATTTTCATTATTGTACATTATTATTATTCAGGTGTTCTAGATTAGCCTTTTCTATTATTAGTCCATTTATGTAACCGGGTCTGTCAGGCCCATATTAGAGGCCCAGACCCGGATATTCTTCTATATATACTCCCTTAGGGAGTTCTTGTAAACCCTAACTCATAATTCATACACAATATCATTTCTACTATTCATCTTCCTCACATTATCTCAAATCTCTCCATTTTATTATAGTTTGGATACCCCTATAATCCATCATACACTTTTCATCAGTGTTGCGTATGTCATATTCTTAATTTATGTGTAAAAGACGGACTAGCCGCGTTAGGAAATAATATGAAGATAATGAAAGGGGGAATTAGATTTATTTCGTGCAAGATATGGTAACGCGCCCCCTCCCACGACACAAACATCTTCTTCATATAAAGGAAAATCATTTTTGAAATCTAAAATTTTCAATCTTATGAAAAAAAGTAAAACAACTCTCAATGTTGCACAAAGCTCAGTTAACGAGCTTTCTTTATATCTAATGTTTCCTATTGACTATGAAGACGATGATGACTTTGACGTTCTGAAGTGGTGGATGGAAAAAGAAAGGACGTTCCCGGTTTTATCAAAGATGAGCAAGTCCTAGCAATGCCGATAATCCCGATATCAACGAGATTGAGCGCAAACTCTCTTGAGACACTTATTTGCCGGCAATGTCCTAACAGTTGCCGGCAAATCTTGAAGGCCGAACGTAGAACTCAAGAACTTAACATCACCCTCACCCGCCACTTCATGAAGGAAACAACAACCGACGGTGCCAGAGATTCTGATTGGTTATTAGGAAATGTATTGTTGAGGTTTATTCCCCTCAACCCGCAGGCCCAACACGTAACCTGGGGGTTTCAAATGGGTGGAAAGCAAAACAAGCTCACTAAACAACGAGGAATGGGCTAATAACTGTATTTCATTCACTCTAGCGATTACAAGCCAAGGGGCCGAACGTACTAAGCTATGCTACGTGTCGTTGATGCTATTACAATACTAGAGTGTCAAAGTGAGAACCCCTTACAATGAAATAAATGCGACTATTTATAGTATCCCATGGTGGTTGGGGGGTTGACGTGGCCGGCTGTGGGCGACATGATCCCAACCACCAAATCTCCCGCATTTAATGCGCTTCCCGCCAAGATCTTGGTTTCCCGCCATAGCGTGGGGACGTCCGTCCCCTAAACTGGACTCAACCCCTGGCCCTAGGCCCTTGAGTGTAGCCTAAAAGATTACAAGCGTGGGGACGTCCGTCCCCTAAACGTTCGTCCCCTAAACTGGACTCAATCACGCGATTACAAGCGTGGGGACGTCCGTCCCCTAAACTGGTGGCAGCCTGGGCCCTTGAGTGTAGCCTACAAGATGCTCGTCCCCTGGCCCTTGGGCCCTGAGCTTGGTCCTACGGGGCTACGTACGTCTCCTGGCCCTTGGGCCCTGAAACCTGGCTATGCTGGGCTACGTACGTCCCCTGGCCCTTGGGCCCTGAAGCCTGGTTATGATGGGCTACGTATGTCCCCTGGCCCTTGGGCCCTGCAGCTTGGTTATGCTAGGCTACGTACGTCCCTAGGGGTTGATGGGCCGCCCCTGATTGGCCATTAACCCAACACAAGTCCCCCACTTCTGATGTTCCGAACGTGCGCGGGACATAAAGAAGTAAGATACCGTCTGCCGTACCGCCTCGAGCTGTTACTTCCTTTTCCTCTAGGTGACGGTTGCTTCCCGCCGTTGTTCGCGGGGCTATAGGTGCCAGCTATCAGGCCGGTTCAACTTCCGATGCAAAAGTAACCATTTCGTACTAGCCCGTCTCTACGCGACACGCGTCCCTGGATACGCTCCCTGCCACGTGTCACCTGCGGGTTGGCCACTGATCCGGTGCCTCCCCTTATAAATACCGGGAATACGGGAAGGGTTAGGGCTTTTCATCCTTTGCCTCCTCTTATCTTCCCAGTGCCGTTCAGCGATCATTTTGAGTTCCGGCGTTCATCCCTCTCCCAAGTTTGAGCAAGGTAATTCTTCAATCCCAACCTCTTCCTTTCTTTTCGTAAACCTCCCCATGTCCTACTCCATGGTGATTTCTTCCGATTCGGAAACTTGCTCTAGCTCTTCTACCGGCTCTTCAGCCGGTTCATCTTCGGCAACAGAACTCAGATCCTGTTCCCCGGCGGAAGCGAGCGGTTCTGGCCGTTCCAGTGCTTCTTCGATGGTGGTTCCTGATGCAGTAGCCGATGTCGCGATCCCGGACGTAGGAGAACATGTTGATATGGCTGTCGGTCCCGAGAACGCCGTTGTGATGATGGCACAACCCGCCGCGGTGGTGGAGCATTCGGCCGATCATGATTCGGGTGACGAGGTCGAGGAAGGGGACGACCTCCGGATATACAAGCTCGGCGTCCCCATGGATCAGCACAGGCACATAGTGCTTATACCCAATGTTGCCGTGATTGAACAGGTCTACTCTAAGAGGGCCCGGAGGGAACTACAGATTATTCTCCCCCCGCCTGCTTACTATAGCCTTCGAGGTGCGGATAACCTCCTCATGAGACGTCTGGGCATGGTGATGGTGCACATGGATTCTGTAAAGGCCGGACTGCGTTTCCCGCTCCACCCATTTTATCTTGATTTCTTCGAGTTTTATAGTGTTGTTCCGGCCCAATTCATGCCGAACTCCTATCGTTTGATCTCTGCCTTCCTCGTTCTTTGCAAATCACTGGGGCTCACCTCTAAACTGGAGCTTTTTCATTATTTTTTCCAAGTCACTCCGCAAAATGCTGATGGGTTTCTAAGTGTGGCCGCTCGTCCCAAAAGAGAGTTGTTCGAGGAGGCTCCCACTTCTATCCACGATTGGAAAAATCGCTTTTTCTTCATTCGCTATGTGGACGAGCGGCTTCCTATGAGATGGAATGGATACCCTCCGAAGGTTCAGGCGCCAGAGCTAACCCCGGCGTTGCGGGATGCCGTGGATAAGCTGAAGCTGGGCGGCATTAGAAAGCTGAAGGACCTTCTGACCATCGCGACACTCTCTGACGCAGGGATATGTACCGCCCGTGATCCCTGGACTGACATTCTCTCATGTTCATCTTGTGGGCCCGGGCAGTCCATTCCCTGAGGTGAGTGCCTTTGTGATTCGCACCGCCCGGTACTAACGTTATTTCTTTGTTTCAGGTCCTCCCCCTACTCAAGAACAAATGGATAGTGCAGCTATGGCGGCTCGTCATGAGGCAAAAGCCAACAAGGAACGAGCGGCATTGGCCAAGGCTCATGCGGCCGCCCAATCTTCTGGGGACACTTCGTCTGCCGCGTCCCAGGCTAGTCAGCGTATTGCTGAAGCGGAGCGGCTTCTGGTCGCTGAGGTGACTGGGCAAACTTCTGAGGCCCAACATCCTCAAGATAACCGGGTCCTGAACGTGGATCCTGTCGGGGTTGGTATCCCCGCTGGTGGGGAAAAGGACAGGGGGAAGAAGCCGAAGAGGCCGCGCCTTGCCGCCTTGAATCCTCTGTTCCTAAACCCACGAACGTCGTGGTTCCTTCTGTGTTCGTCCGATCTCTGAGACCTGGAAGGACATGGCCCTTCAGGCCGGGCTGGAGTTGTCAGGTCGTTCTTCGAGTGACTCTGTTGATAATGCTCTGCTCTTGAACCTTGAGGTATGTTCCCAACATTTCCCCCTGTCATTTGAAACTGCCCTTCGTCCCCATCTAACCCACTTTCCTTCCTTGTAGGCTGGGCTGAGCTTGTTGCAGGCAAGGGCCGCTCGGGAGAAAGATCTCGCCGAGCTCAAGAGAAAAGCCGATGCGGCTGTCAAGAGAGAGCAGGAAGCCGTGCTGCTGCGGGAAGCTGCTCAGGCAGAGATGAAGAAGGTGCAGGCTGCCCTGGATCAGGCTCAACAGGAGCTCCAGGCCGTTCGGGCTCAGAGCGAGCAGGAAAAACAGGGCCTGCTTGCCAAGGTGGCCCTGGCCGAGAAGCATGGGATTTCCTTTGTTTCTGCCGCAGATCCTACCCCGCGTTCTGAAGGCGGAGATCCCCCAAACGACGTTCTGACTCTGGCCATCAATGTGGAGGAGTTTAAGAAGACTGCCCAGTTCCTCCAGGCCGCCTATGAGTATTGTCGGGGAGCTGCTGGGGAGGTTTTCGAGGCCGAGCTGCAGTCGGTGCCGGAGAAGGATCGCTTGGTTCATGGGGTGCGGCTTTTGGAGAAGACCGCACTTGGTGGTGAATGGCTTGCAGAGCTTGCTGATGATGCCTTTGCCAAAGGGTACTTCGAAGGTGTCAAGACCCTTAGGGGTGTGCTCCCTCTGGCCGGCTGTCCCCCCTTCAATGTGGAAGATTATACGGATGGGGCCGAGCTTCGGCGAGTCATGGGAAAACACGGCCGAGATGAGCAGCGCGCCGTGACCGTTCAGAGGGGTGAAATCCCTGATCCCCCACTCTCGAGCTTCCCCTTGTGGAATCGGAAGAACCGCTGGCCTCCCCACGCTCCCCTCCCCATGGCTTCCTTACATGATTTGTTAGTTCCCCCTCTGCTCAGTTGTATATTCTGGCCGGTAGAGCCGAAGAATAAAGCTTCTTTTTGCACTTTATGACTTGCATTCTGTTTACCGTTCATAATTCCCTCTGCCCCCCCCCCCCCCCCCCCCCTTTTTTTTTACGAGGGACGGCTTCTCCTTCTTTCTATCATGGACTCTTTTTCCTTCTTTTTTGACGAGGAAACGGCTCCTCCTCCTTGCTCTCATGAACTCTTCTTCCTTCTTTTCTGACGAGGAACGGTCCATGCTCCTTGCTCTCGTAAACTCTTCTTCCTTCTTTTCTGACGAGGAATGGCCCCTACTCCTTTCGCTCATGGGCTCTTTTCCTCTTCTTCCGACGAGGAACGGCCCCTGCTTCTTGCTCATGGGCTCTTTTCCTCTTTTTCTGACGAGGAACGGCCCCTGCTCCTTTCGCTTGTGGGCTCTTTTCCTCTTCTTCTGACGAGGAACGGCCCCTGCTCCTTTTGCTTGTGGGCTCTTTTCCTCTTCTTCTGACGAGGAACGACCCCTGCTCCTTTTGCTCATGGGCTCTTTTCCTCTTCTAAACTCTCTCTTTTTTTTACGTACGTCTCGTTGTGGGGGTGATTTTGGCATGTGCCATCGGCGGCGTGGATCTCGAAGCATCTCTCCGCCGTAGGATGCACCAAACATGGTCCGCCACTTGTCTTCCCCCAATTCGGGAACCGGGTGGTTTTTGCATATAAATATCCTATTGCCAAAATGGGGGATTACTCTGTCACTCTGCCACACTATTCTCTCTCTCTAGATCTCCATCTCTTCCTTGTTAGTCCGGTATTTTCTCTTTCGTACTTGCTATGTCTTCCATTGTCCCTAGGCCGTCTGCCCATGGCCGTCCCGGAAATTCATCCGATGACGGTTGTAATTCAGGGGATGACCTTTCGGTCTATAAGCGTGGGATGCCCCCCAGCCTCCTCATTTCTCCCTTAACTTCCATCTCGCTCGGCGTCAGCGCCAACGTCTGCTTCTTAGCGAGAAGAACCTGATTCCCCAGTTGCTTCCCCCTCCACGGGTTTGGGACGCACGGTTCCTCCGCCATCCTATGTGGCATCTACCCGGCTACGTGGTCGTCCATCTGGACTCTGTGGTAGCGGGCTTTCTTTTCCCGTTGTTGCCTTTCCACATCTCTTTTCAGGGGCCTTGGTATCGCCCCGGCTCAACTCGTTCCGAATTCTCATCGGATTCTCGCTGGTTTCATAATCCGATGCCACAATGTGGGGGTCGAGCCGTCCGTGAAATCGTTTCTGCATTTCTTCCGGCTTTCCCCATACGGCCAGACAGGTTATCTTAGCATAATGGCCCGTTCGTGGAGAGTTCTCTTTTCCAACAACCCCCCCAATTCGAACAGCTGGGAGGAGAGATTCTTCCTTGCCGGGGTTGATTCCCTTCCACCCTTCTCCGATCGGTGGAATGCTTTCCCTGTTAAGTTTGAGCCTCCGGTTCTCCATTCGGCCGAGCTGGAACATGCCGCTCGTATTGCCGGTGAGGGGGTCCAGAACCTGCGTTTGCTGGTGAATGACACCAACTTGGGCAAGGCCGGCATAGGTACGTCCTCGCTGTGGTCCGGGTTTTGGACTCTCTTTTTTGTGACTCCCAAACATTGTTCTAACAATTTTCCTTATCTCCTTTGCGCAGGGCTTTACCCCAGGTCTTCTGCCATAGTTCCCCACCCCCGTGCTACTCCCTCCAACGGTCGGGCTGATGCTAGCAAGGGAAAGCAGATCGTTGGTGAGGATCAGGGCCAAAAGAGGCCCAAAGCCGAACCTGCTGGGGATGAACGGCCCCCAAAAAAGTCCCGCCATGGGGAAGGATCTTCCAAGGCCGTGGTGGTCCTTGATGGGTCAGACACTGAGGCCGCCTCTCCCCCTAAGCCGCCCCCTGTCACTTCATTGGGCAAAAGTTCGAGCGACCCTCCTCCGCCCAGTTCAGAGGATTCGTTTTCTGATATCATTGAGTTCTCCGGATCGGGTCCCCGTGCGGAGTCGAAAAGGTTGTTTGGGCAGACGGCTCTTCCATTTGGTGCTCTTTGGGGTTAAAACTCCCTAGTGATTTTGTTGCTCGTGATAGCGCGGTGGATCTTCATGAGTGCGGCGTTAGCACTCTCAACAAGGCCGCCATTTATTTCTGCAAGGCGCGATTTGCCTATGAAGCTCAGGAGCGTGCTTCCGCCCAGGTGCAATGTGAAGCCGATGATCTGGTGAAGAAGGCCAAAGAGCGTCTGCACAAGATGCAGCAGGATTTGAACGCTGCTCTTGGGCTCGCTAAGGGGAGCACGTCTCTTCAGGATACGGTGAGGAAACAAGTCGAGGAGCTGCAGCTGCTTCGTGCCAAAATGGCCGCCGTGGAGAAGTCCGACGTGCAGCTTCGCCAGGTTGGTACGGATGGGGCCATTCCTGTTTTTGAGGCTGATGTTTCCAAAATCAAGGAAGCCGGCTCCATTGAGTTTCAGAAGTCCCGTGCCTATGTCGATGCCGTGAATGTCTGTGTGAAGGAGCGTCTTGCCCAGAGCTTCGGGGAGTTCCTGGCTAAGAGCTATGACGCGCTGAAGGATGGCATTGAGCTGGTATCGGGGACCTCCGCTGGCCAGGAGTTCCTTGCAGAGCTTGCCGGTGATGCTTTCACTAAAGGGATGATCGGCCTTTTGGTCGGAAACCTCCCGGCTCTCCAGCGTTATCTCCCTGCCCCGTTTGATCCTGAGGCTGTTGGTTTCAATGCTTCGTTTGCTGAAGCTTATGGGGAGGCTTTGAAGGGTAAGGGCCACGCAAAGGACGGCCCCCCATAGCTGAGTGAGTTTATCAAATTCTGCTTGCCAGCCGCACCTCCTGGCTAGCAGGCCGTTCTTCCCGAATCGACTAATGTTTTGAAGATGGCTTACTTCACCCCTCACGCCTTTGGATTCATAGAAAGCTCTTGCAGGCACGTCTATATTCAAGGATAGCTCCCTGAGGCGTGACGGCTTCGATTATTTTGTACTCTTGTTTTCACTCCGAACTCGTGTATGTTTGTACTTTCCGGCCGGTAGAGCCGATGAATAAAGTGTATTGTTTGCTTGTTGCGATCGTCTTTAAACTTTGTCATCCGTTTGTCTTACCTGCCCATTTGGCCCGGTCCTTTGGATCCTGAGCTGGGCACGGTCGCGATTGTGATGCGGAACGGGTTTATCCCCTTTGGGGATTCCCCGGTGCCTCTTTCTTTTTTTTGGAGAGGTCTTTGGCTTCGCTCCGTCGTCCGTTCGTCTTACCTGCCCATTTCGCCCGGTCTGTAGATCCTGAGCTTGGCTCGGCCGCGATTGTGATGCGGAGCGGGTTTATCCCCTTTGGGGATTCCCCGGTCTTCGTCCCGTCATCCGTTCGTCTTACCTGCCCATTTGGCCCGGTCCTTTGGATCTTGAGCTGGGCTTGGCCGCGATTGTGATGCGGAACGGGTTTATCCCCTTTGGGGATTCTCCGGTGCCTCTCTCTCTCTCTCTTTTTTGGAGAGGTCTTTGGCTTTGCTCCGTCGTCCGTTCGTATTACCTGCCCATTTGGCCCGGTCCTATGGATCCTGAGCTGGGCTCGGCCGCGATTGTGACGCGGAGCGGGTTTATCCCCTTTGGGGATTTCCCGGTCTTCGTCCCGTCATCCGTTCGTCTTACCTGCCCATTTGGCCCGGTCCTTTGGATCCTGAGCTGGGCTCGACCGCGATTGTGATGCGGAACGGGTTTATCCCCTTTGGGGATTCCCCGATGCCTCTCTCTCTCTCTCTTTTTTGGAGAGGTCTTTAGTGGTTATACCGTCTGGATGATTGGTACCGCTCGGCGGGGAGTGTTAATTTCCTCCGGGAGGCTCGTAGTGTTCTTGTGATGATGATGTACACCGTGATTTTATCGTGGAAACTCGGAAAGGGAAAAACCACGGGACTTTTTGGGCTAACGTCCAAGCCTTTTTCATTAATTCTTGTTGTTACATTGTATGACTGAAAACTTCCTTCTTGTCTCCCCCCCTCTTCCTTTGTTTTCTTTTTGTTTTTTTTTTCTTTTGGGGGGGGGGGGGGGGGGGGCTCCTATTGGTAGAATCTCTTCAGGTGCTCCACATTCCATATGTCAGCGGAACGTTCTTCCATAGTTTGTAGGAGGAACGTCCCCACCGCCAATCTCTTCTCGTATACCCTGTACGGCCCTTCCCAGTTTTTGGTCATCTTGCCGCCCTCAAGCGGCTTGCTCTTCTCCCGCTTCCGTAGTATCAGTTCTCCGACCTTGATTTCTCTGATTTTCATCGCCTTGTTGAAATACCTTTCGGTTGCCCGATGATATTCTTCCATGCGCCGTGCGGCTAGGTCCCTTTTCTCCTCGATAAAGTGCAATTCTGCCCTTAGATTCTCCTCGTTCTGTCCCGGGTCAAAGTGCAAAGTTCGGTGTGTGGGCACAAGTAGTTCGGTGGGGACCTTGGCCTGAAACCCGTATGCTAGTGGGAACGGTATTTCCCCGGTCGCCGTTCTTGGAGTTGTCCTGTACGTCCACGGGACATAATTCAGCTGCTCCGGCCAGGTTGAGGAGTAATCTTCCAGTTTTTTCTTTATGCCATCCATGATGGTCCGGTTCATATTCTCCACCTCGCCGTTTGCCTGTGGGTACGCGACTGAGGCCTTGGAATGCCGGATGCCCCACTTGGCCAGGTATGCCTCGAACCCTTTGCTAACGAACTGTCGACCATTGTCCGTAATGATCTGTTCTGGGATGCGGAACCGGCATAATACATTTTGCCATACGAAACGTTGGCATTGGAACTCAGTGATGTTTTTCAATGGCTCGGCCTCCACCCACTTGGTGAAATAGTCAATGGCTACTATTATGAACTTCTTGCCGCCAGTCGTCCTGGGAAGGGGCCCCAACAGGTCTACCCCCCATCTCGCAAATGGTAGGGCGACGGTCATCGGGGTGTAGAAGCTGGCCGGTCTTCCCGACATGGGTGCGTACTGCAGGCATACCGCACACCTCTGGGTGTGGTTGAAGCAGTCCCGCTGGATGGTTGGCTAGTAGTACCCTGTAGGATTATCTTTCTTGCCAGCGTTCGGGGTCCCTGGTGACTGGAACAGATGCCCTCATGGATTTCCTCCATGACTGATGCCGCTAAGTCCGGCGGTAAGCACCTGAGGTATGGTCCACCGAACGTCTTCTTGTACAGTTCACCCCCGATGATCTCAAAGCTCGCCGCCCGTCTTTTTATCCACGGGGCCCTTCCGGAGGTGCGTCCATCTTTCTCGAGGGGGAGGGTTCCATCCCGGAGATAATCTGCTACCTCCTTCACCCAGTTGGGATCTGCATAAGAAACAGCATTTACCTGGATCGTCTCCGTCGTCGGTCGAGGTAGTGCCTCCTGTCTAGCGAAATTCCGTATATGTTTTGGGACGGCCGGCATCTGATCCTCGGATAGGGGATTGCCTAGCTTGGATAGGATATCAGCTTCGGCGTTCTCCACCTGAGGTACCAGGTCTATGATCACTTTCTCAAACTGCGCAGTCTGCTCCTCTACCAGTTCCGTGTAGGCCTTCATCCGTTCCTCCCGAGTCTCAGCAGTACCATTCATCTGTGTAACAACCAACTGGCTATCCATCCGTACCTTCAGACGAGCTGCTCCGAGGGCCCTCGCATATCTCAATCCTGCGATCAGCGCCTCGTACTCGGCCTCATTATTGGTGACTTTGAACTTGAATTCTATGGAGTAATAAGCCTTGAATCTCTCAGGGGAAGTGATGATCGCACCCCCCCGCATCCCTTTGCACTTGCTGCCCCATCGGTGTACATTTCCCACCAGTTGTCCAGGTCGTTACTGCCGTATTCCCCATCCTCCGTATGTGCTGTGCACTCGGCAATGAAATCTGTCAGCGCCTGCCCTTTGATCGTCGGCCTCGGTTTGAACTCCACGTTGTACTGCCCGATCATCAAGGACCACGTCGTAATCCTCCCACTCGCCATTGGGTTCCTGAGGATAGTGGCCAATGGCTCAGTGGTGAACACCATCACCGGGTGTGCCTGGAAGTTCGGCGCCAAGCGCCTTATTACCGCGATCAGTGCCAGGATCGTCTTCTCCATCAGCGTGTACCTTGTCTCTGGGTCGTTCAGCGCCTTGCTAACGAAGTATATAGGCCGCTGAACACCCTCAACCTCCTTCAGCAAGACAGAGCTTATCGCCAGATCAGCCACTGCTAGATACATGTATAGCGGCTCCCCGGGATCCGCTTTAGTCAGGACAAGTGGCGAGGAGAGGTACGTCTTGAAGTCTTCAAAGACTGTCTGACACTCCAGGGTCCATTCAAATGGGTTGGCCTTCTTCATGATCTGGAAGAAGGGGATCGCCCGATCAGCCAATTTTGATATAAACCGGCTCAGTGCCGCCAAGCGCCCAGTAAGTCTCAGCACATCTTTCAAATTTTTGGGAGCCTCCATGTCCATGATGGCTTTCACCTTTTCTGGGTTAGGCTCGATTCCCCGTTCGCTCATCATGTAACCAAGAAATTTCCCTCCTTTGACAGCAAAGGCACACTTCTTCGGGTTAAGCCTCATGTTTGCTCCCTCCATGATGGTGAAAACCCGTTCCATATCTTGTACGTGGTTCTCCTTCTTCTTGCTCTTGATCAGGATATCGTCCACGTACGCCTCCATGATCTTCCCGAGGACGTCCTTGAATAATATCCAGATCATCCTTTGGAAGGTGGCCATTGCATTCCTTATACCGAACGGCATAACCACATAGCAATATACCCCGTCTGACGTAACGAAGGCAGTTTTCTCAGCATCGTCTGGATGCATGAATACTTGATGATACCCCCTGAAGGCATCCATGAAACTAAGCAGCTCGCATACCGCGGTCTCATCCACCAACAGATCAATCCTTGGAACCGGATAGGGGTCCATTGGGCAAGCCTTGTTGAGATCAGAGTAATCGACGCACATCCGCCATGTAGTTCCCTTCGGTGCCAAGATGACGTTGGACAGCTACTCCACATGCATGACGGGCCGTATGTGGCGTATGTCGAGCAGGGTAGTGACTTCTACTTTGATGAAGTCCCTCCGTTCGACCGCCATGTACCTTTTCTTCTGTTGTACGGGTTTGGCATCTGGCCGAACGGCCAATATGTGACAGATGATGTTTGGATCAATTCATGGCATATCCTCTGGTCCTCTGGCAAATAAGATCTTGAACCTTTGGAGGATCAAGATCACCCCTTCCCGTATTTCTTGCTCCAAGCCCGTCCCAATGGACACCTTCCGATCGGAGGGATCGTCCAGTTCCACTTCCTCCAGCAAAGTCGCCGACTCTGGTCGGAACATGGCTTCCTCCCGCCGGGCTGTCTCTGCAATGCTATTGACCCTCATATCCTTCTCATTCATCCTCTTTACCGCTTCCTTGTAACATGCTCTCGCTGTGTATGGATCCGTACGGGCCACGCCCACCCCAGTTTCCGTGGGGAATTTTATACAGGAGTGCCGTACGGAGCAGATGGCCTCGAGGTCCTCCAATTCGGGGCGTCCCAGAATGGCGTTGTGGGCGCATTTGAGCCGCACCACTACAAACGTCATGGGGATCGTTGCCCTGTGCTCGCCGTCCCCGATCTTTACTGGCAGGACGATCGTCCCTTCTGCATCAATGCTGTGGCCGGTGAAACCAGCCAGGGGTGTCCGTAGGGGGCTCAAATCGGCCCTGCTCAGATGCATCTTCTCGAACACGTCACAGTAGAGGACATTGACACTGCTTCCTGTGTCGACCAGGACTCGCCGGATTATCCACTCCCGGATATCCATGCTGATTACCAACTCATCCATGTGCGGCCCTGGTGATTGCGGTAGATCCGTTGTCTTGAATATGATGGGTTAGGCCTTGTGTTTTTTGGCGGGAGGTGCAGAGATAGAATTTATCCGGAGGGCCCTCTCGAACTTCTTTCTCTCCGCCGCGGTATCCCCAGTCTCCGCCCCTCCGAAAATCATCTTGATTTCCATTTTCTTCTTGGAGCCGACCGGCCCGAGGGACGCCTCTGGCCGTTTGCCGTTATGACGGAAATCCTCCTCCTTGACCCAGCCTCTCGCCGATCATCCCGGCGCCAGCTGTAGGGCCTCCTATGCTGCTGTGAGGGGCCCTGATATGCTCCTCATGCGGTGAACTCTCCCAGATACCCCCTTTCAATAAGTTGTTGGATGGCGTACTTCAGACTTTAGCAATCGTCCGTACGGTGTCCCTGCTTGCGGTGATATTCACAGTAGGCTCCCGTGTCCCGGCCCATTATGAGCCCTTTGGTGGGCACTGGCTCCTTGAGCAGTCCTTTGTCCTTGATGGCCCCAAAACTCTGGCTGATTGGGTAGGCCAAAGGAGCAGGTCCCATGCCTACACGGGGGTCGTCCCCTGGGCGTTCCTGGGCAGCCCAAGGGACGTAACCGCCGATCGTCTTCTTCTTTTTGAGTGCCGGTGACTCTACCGGCCCGGGACCCAATCGGTCCGATGTCTTGCGCGTTGCGGGGGCTGCTGCCCCATCCCGCTGTGAAACCTCTTCCTTGATTGCAGCGAACTTGTGCGCACGGGCCAACACCTCGGCGTAGTTGCTCCCGGGGTTCCTTTTCAAGTCCAGATAGTGGTCCCCGGTTGCCAACGCATTGGTAAAGAGGGTGATGACGGTGCTCTCCGGAAGGTCCTCCACCTTCACGGTCTCGTCCCCCCACCTGATCAGGAAAGCAGATATGGATTCTCCCTTGTTCTGGTGGACATTCGTCAACCAACTGAAGTGTTTCTTGGGTGTGGAGCTTGATGCGAACTGAGCCATGAACTGCCGGGATAACTTTTCAAAGTTGTCAATGGACCCGGGCCTGAGCTGCCCGAACCATTCTTGCGCTGGACCCCTGAGGGTGCTGAAGAAAAGTCTGCAAACAGCCTCATCAGAGGCTCCCAGCATAGAGAGTGTTCCTTGATAAGATAGTAGATGGGCCTTGGGGTCCCCGGCCCCATCATAAGTCAGTGTTCCTGGAGGCCGAACGTCCCGTGCAATGTCTACTGCCATGACCCTGTCGGTGAAAGGGGGCGAGAGTGCAATCCTGGGTTGTGCCTGTGTATTCTCCGTACGTCGATTCAGCTCGTTTATCTGTCTCTGCATGTCCATGAGCATGGCATCTCGCGGATCAGCCCCAGCGGGCGCGGGGGTTACCAATGTCAAGGTATTCCCCCTTGGCGTAATGCCATGATTATGCTTGACCATGGTATACCCGGACCTCCGCTGTAGCACCGTCCCCAAGCATATTTACTTTTAGTAAATTATGTAATAAACCTCGAAAAGATGATTTATGAATTTACGTAATTGTTAAATTTTATTATTTCTTTTACGTGAATAGTAAATTGCATGTGGGGCCCACAGCGGGAACGGGGACCGCTCGATAATTCCCGAACCACATATTATATTCATCTTGGTCTAGATGACATCTATATGGTGGTGGATATTCTATTTGGGCCATAAGAAAGGCATGGAGTTGATCGGTCGGTCAAACGGGGCCCACTTACCGGTATTGGTAATTTAGCGGATAACAGCCCGTAATGAGTTTCGGAGACTCCTAAATTAATATTGGGTAATGTATATCTATTCTAAAGGCCCATAATTATTGGGAACGCGTGATATATTTTATCCGGCCCGATAAAATAAAATATGACTAAAATAGTCCGAGAAATACAACTTTCGGGACCGATTATACACACCGGGACTTAAAGGGATGACAGCCCACATGAGTGGGGGCCACCCCACGTCCCTATGGACTGAATGAGAACAGAAGGGGACATTCAAACATGGGAGGTGCGGACTCATTAGTGAGGAGATTGCTCAAGACAAAGAAATCACTCCCAAGGGCCCATACACATGTATTATCTTGGGAGTTGATTGGGGAGATGTTTCCCCCTTCCATTTGACATCATTCACTCGACCAAGGCAGAGAGAGAAGCTCTAGGGAAGTCTCCTCTCATAGTCCAAGCAGCAAGGAAGAGAATCCAAAGAGGAGGGTTGTTTTTGAGGTAAGCACTCAATAAACAATCTTTAACTAGTTTTGTTATTGTATGATTTTTAAGAAATCATATGGTGGATTAAACCTTGAGTTCTACACGTTTAAAAGTGTAGAATATTGATATAAAGTGGTGTTAATTAACTTAGAAGAGTTGGTGAATCGATAGGAGTCGAAATCGCCGGAAACCGCCACATATAGGGGAGTTGTTCGTAGTTGCAGACTACGAAATCCGCCCGGCTTTCGTGAAAGCCGCCCGGCTTTGGCCCAGAAATCCAGCTTTTCACTTTCAATCGGCCTAGAACGGGGATTGATCGAGGGGCTTAACAAAGGCAACTATCGTAGCACATCACGAGGTGAGGATGGCTGACTATATTGCTTATAATTAGTGAGTTAATTTCATAAGATTGCCTAAAGTAATTAGATGGGATTTTCATGAATTATTAATGATTAATAATGCCTAAATGAAAATAATATTGATATGAGTAAGTGAAGCATGATATACAAATTTAGAATAATTGTGTATAATTATGTGAAATGAATGGAACGACATGTTAATGGAATTACTATGATGATATTGTGATAAAATATACTTTACGTCATGTATGAAATTCATGAATGGATTAAAGTGATATTTTTGATATTGAGATCAAACTATACTTGTGTTGGGAAATCAATTGAAATGAAAAGTCAATTGGAAAAATAGGAACTTGGCATGTTCTAAGATTATCCAATTAGTATCAAAATACTAGTCGGGGAATTAATATAAATAAATGATGAAACAAATCCTAAGAGGTAGGATTGTGAATAGATATGCCTTAAGTAGTCTCAAGAGATACCTTAAGGTTGAATTGTGTGAACACTAAGGTGTGACAGGGGTAGGCCTAAAGGCTACCTACGGAAATTGATTCTAGGCATATGAATTGCTTGAGAATTTAATTATGAAAATAATTAGAGTTTGACTCTAGGATGACATGGAAATGTAGTTGGGCCGAGCCCATGCCATGTAATATGATTAGCATGGAAACGTAGTTGGGCCGAGCCCTTGCCATGTATATGTGATCTCCGTGGAAACGTAGTTGGGCCGAGCCCTTGCCACGAAGTTATGGTTGGTATGGAAACGTAGTTGGGCCGAGCCCTTGCCATACAAATTTTGATATGTTATATTGAGTTAGAGGATTGTATAGAAATGTAGTTGGGCCGAGCCCATGCTATACAATTGGGGCTCGATGGGACCCCACGGGGTTATCGTGACTTGCGGTCACGGGGGAATGGAAACGATGAATTCTAAATGAATATGGGCCCACGGGCCGACTACTTGACTCTATATAAAGTAAGTACAGTTAAAAGAAAAAGGGGTAACCGAGGGTTATGGCCTATAACATAATAGTACCCTAAGTTGAAGGTCTTAGAAATTAAAACATCAATTATACTTAGTATAGTTCCTATTGTACTTGTCAAATATTTCCAAGTACTGACCTCCCCTTCACGGGGGAGGCCACCTCACAGTTTCAGGTAGAACTTGAAGGTTGCTGCCACCTCTCGTTGCTTCGGGAAGATCCAAGGAAGAAGACGTGGTTCGTGCTTCTCACGTTTCTGTTTTGAAAACAACTTAAATAATGCTCATGGATATTGTCTTTTTGAATAATTATTTGGGGGCTTGTACGCCCATGATTGCCAAGGTGTGGTACAAACACTTACGTTAAATGTTTCCGCTACTATAAATGTTTATTTTACATTATGTTTGTTTATGGATGTACTATGTGTGAATGGTATTCAAGACGCCTTGTATAGTATGGATGAGTCGGACTGCGGTTGACTATTCGTACTGTACGACGGGTTGTTGACGTGTCCGGGTAGGTCCGAGGCGTGACATCCGCCATCATGCCATCCACCACAGGGGTATGTTCCCGAGCCGCCCGTCCATCGCGGGGCATGACCGGCGTGGGGTCATGGGCCGTGTGGCGATGCGTTCCCCTGAAAGGCCTGGCTCCCGCGGTGCCCCCCATACCCGGAGAGCGGGTGTTCTGGGTTATCCTAGAATGGACCGAACGACGGGGATTGCTATTTTCACCGGTATGTTCGGCGAAAGACTGCATGGGGTGAATGGGCGACAGTGGGGTGCACTCGGTGTTGGTAGTATGCACATGCTCTTCCTCCCGCTGGTCCGCTAGTCGGCGGATGGTATCCGCGATATCCCGTAGTGCGTTGGGGTCCCTTCGGAGTTCCTGGGGAATCAGGTCGGTGAGTATCCCGAAATCTCCCCGACTCCATAGACTGGTGGACTGGGCCCCCGTCGTCTGGTTGCGGCTCCTCCTGCTATGAGTCAGTCGTGAGGAGAGGTCTTGAGAGTTACGCGCGTTGTTAGTGTTCATTTTTCTTGCCCTGCGGTTGTCTTAGAGTTTTTTAATGGAGAGCTTGGTTAGAAGAACTTTTTGATCAGTTTCCCACAGACGGCGCCAGTGTTGAGGTTTATTCCCCTCAACCCGTAGGCCCAACACGTAACCTCGGGGTTTCGAATGGGTGGAAAGCAAAACAAGCTCACTAAACAACGGGGAATGAGCTAATAACTGTATTTCATTCACTCTAGTGATTACAAGCCAAGAGGCCGAACGTACTAAGCTATGCTACGTGCCGTTGATGCTATAACAATACTAGATTGTCAAAGTGTGAACCCCTTACAATGAAATAAATGTGACTATTTATATAATCCCATGGTGGTTGGGGGGCTGACGTGGCCGACTGTGGGCGACATGATCCCAACCACCAAATCTCCCGCATTTAATGCGCTTCCCGCCAAGATCTTGATTTCCCACCATAGCGTGAGGACGTCCGTCCCCTAAACTGGACTCAACTCTCTGGTGGCAGCTTGGGCCCTTGAGTGTAGCCTACAAGATGCTCGTCCCCTGGCCCTTGGGCCCTGAGCTTGGTCCTACGGGTAGGGTTGGACTCGGGCCGGGTCGAGCCCGGGCCGGCGGTTCTATATAGCTGGACCCGGGACCGGCCCGGGTAGCCACCGGGTCCGGTCCGGGTCCGGGCCGGGCCGGGCCTCGGGTTTGGTTAATTTTTTTTTTTGCTTAGCTACCCATCCCTGACCCCCCCCCCCCTTCACCCCCCACCCCCAAACCCCTCCTAAACATCAAGCCCAACCCGATGGAGCCCAAACAAATGAAAAAACCAAAAAAAAAATAAATTTGGCCCGGCCGGGCCGGGCCTTGTTCTGGGTGACCCGAGCCCGGACCGGAAACCCACCGGGTCGGGCCTACCCAGACCGGTCACTGACCAGGCCACCGGTTCGGGCCGGTCTGGAACAGTACCGGTCCCGGGCCGATTCCGGGTCGGGCCACCCGGCCCGAGTCCAACCCTACCTACGGGGCTACGTACGTCCCCTGGCCCTTAGGCCCTGAACCCTGGCTATGCTGCGCTACGTACGTCCCTTGGCCCTTGGGCCCTGAAGCCTGGTTATGCTGGGCTACGTATGTCTCCTGGCCCTTGGGCCCTGCAACTTGGTTATGCTGGACTACGTATGTCCCTAGGGGTTGATGGGCCGGCCGTGATTGGCCATTAACCCAACATGTATTTAATGTTTTAAATTTGGCTTAGGGTTGGACCGGACCCGGGTCAAGACCGAGTCTTGGTCAGGCATTGGTGGTACTGGGCTTGGGAGTTGGAGACTTGGTACCAACCCGGGTAGGTTCCGAGACCGGGCCGGGACCGGGCCCAGGTCGGGCCGGATCGATACATCTATTTTTTTGTTTTTCTTATTTATTCCTACCCACCCCCAAACACCCCCAAACCATCCAGCCCAACCCACCTACCACCAAACCAATTCAAAAAAATTAAAAAAAAAACAGCCCAGACCAGTCTCGGACCAGCCGGGGCGGTTCCAAGAGCAATGGAGCCAGTGACCCGCCCCAACACTCCCCCCCCCCCCCCCAATTCGGGCCCAAGGCCCGGTCCCGGTTAACCGGGCCAGGCTAGTACCACACAATGGCAATTCGCTTCCGGTACCACCATACCAGGCCAGTCCGACCAGTCCCGGTGCAACCCTAGTGTGGCTGGCTGGCTGCATATAGAATTACCCTTTTGCAAATGACTATCAGTCTTGAAGCCCATCTTGGGCTTAGTTTGGACTTACTACTCCACCTGCCCAACTCCTTACCACAAAATGCTAACTATTTCCATAAAGACTCCTCCCTGCAAGGCTGCATCTACTTAACTTCTTTGAACAACTTCTCGACAACAAGCATCTTTAAGACATTCTAAAACGTAAAAAACTCATTCCGGACACTGCAAGCAGCCTAAATGCCTAATATACAACAAGAGATGGTCACTAGAAGTCTAGAAGGCCTTTCTAAATTAGAAGTGCCATCGTTCTAAAGATATAGCATGAGCTGCTCCAAACAAATTGCACCCATCGTTAATCGTCATTTGCTTGAATTCAGTCTAGCTTCCTCTTCAACCCACGCTGCTGAACCCTGTCCCCTCTCCCAATTCCAATGGTACCCTTCAGAAACTCATGCACCTTTTCAAATGCTACGTATATTTTATTGTTTGCATGCAAAACTCTGTTGTGGACAGTAGTTGGTAATACATGAACATAAAGTAAATAAGTGTGACATCTAGGTGTTTTTAAAGGATTAGAGTGTGGTGGAAAGTGGACAGTAGACTTGCAAAAATGCAAAATGAGGTGAGGGAGCAGAGGGACTCGAGCCATTAGATCAATGTTGGTCACATTGACAGAAGCTTCGCACTTTTCAGTGTAAATAGACTTCTCATCACAATCACCCATGCATGACAGAAGCACCCATGCATGACACGCATAATGTTGTGAATTGTGATATTTTGGGACTGTTCAATTCTGTGATGGTTCTCCTTGAAGAACAATTGCTGTAGCATATTATACAAAATGTTGTTACAATGTAACACAGTATTAACCTTTTTGGTTCTTTCAATTCTAGTACAGATCAAAACCTTTGGTATGGGATGAGAAATCTCAGAACCGCCCAAAACCGTTGGAATGGATGTTAAAATAATACAATCATTATATATACTCAAAAAAAGTGCAAAATACAGCACATCACTAGAAAGCCACACGAAGTCTGCATTTTGAAGGCATAAGCAATCATATTTAGTCTACCATGCACTACTACTAATTAATGTCTATACACACAAAAACACTGTATTAAACAGCAGTTGAGAGATTAAACAGCAATGGATTATCCTCAGCCACCCGTGTTAACATCGTTCGAAAATTCTGTAAAGCTTCTCAAGTGAAGAAACCTAATAGGAAAAAATATTGTGACAAGACAAGAAAATAAAATAGTATGTAAACTTTGAAGATTCTCTTACTACTACTTGCCATCTTCCAATAGGAAAAAAATCAGGAACATTATCTACCCGCCCAGGTGCTATGCTCCCCTTGGACTAATATCTTTTAACAATTTGACCACACCTAAAGCCCCGCCTATGTGATATGCTTAACAACACACAAGCCTCATTTGGTCATAGGCCTCATAGTGCCGCTCAACTAACACCTAGCATTTTTCATAACACTTCTGCATGCAGGGGCGGAACCAGAGGGGGGCGAGCCGGTGCTGGCGCCACCCCTTCGCCGGAGTTTTAGAGGTAGTAGTATTACTAATCGCAGGTCGAGATCTCTGCGGCCAGACCTGCGCCCCGTCTTCTTCTTCGGCCAGACCTGCGCCCCGGCTATGCTGAGATCCACCCCCGTCTTCTTCTTCGGCCAAACCAGAGGTGTGTGTTTTTTTTTAATTAAATCATTTAGGCAAAACGACGTCGTTTGGTTAAGTGCACAGTAACGGCAGAAACGACGTCGTTCCTCTTGGAGTTGGAGTTGGGCACTTGGGCCATTCGCCCGTTCCAGTCGCCCGTTCTCGGATCTCTTCGCACTTCGCCCGTTCCAATCGCAGGTCGAGATCTCTGCGGCTTCGCCAATCGCAAATTCGCAGGTGAGCAGGGCCAGCTCCAGCCTCCAGGTCGAGTTCCGCCCCTGAGCAGATCGCAGTCGCAGACGGTCCCAGACTCCCAGGCTTCGAGTCCTCTGTCCGCCAGGCCCAGGTCGAGTTCCGCCCCGCTGCAAATCTCAAGGTTTGATTTGAAATTATTTTGCAAGTTTATTTTGAGTGATGAGTGATGAGTCCTCTGTGCAATTATTTTGAGTCCTCTGTGCAATTATTTAATTTGAAATTGGACTGATGAGTGATGAATAGCTTTAAGGTTTGATTTTAATTTGCAAGTTTATTGATTCCTCAATACAATTGCTTTTTATAGTAATAATTGATTATAAGCTTGAATTGGTAAAACCCTAGACCGTATAAAATTGAAATTGAAAGTGCTTTAATTGTTTTAAATTTTAATTGATTATAAGTATTTAAGAATTTGAAATTGAAATCTTTTTTAACTTGTTAGGTTACTCATGCGATCATGTCTATTTTACAATTTGTAACACGAGAGGGTGGACCTTCTAGACGAGATAACGAAGAAAGTAGTAGAGAAAAACATCCTCGTGTCGAATTTGATCCAAATGATATTGTGTCTGATCCTGGATTACGTAAGCCAATATTCAAGTATAATTCTTTTATTAGAGACCAGGTTATGAGAGAATATTTAACAAGAGGTCCGTGTAGACCGATTGGCCATGTATATCCTAAGAGAGTGTATGGTAAAGAAAAGAGAAGTTTTCAACCTGCTTGGTTTGAGAAATATCCATGGTTGGAGTATAGCATTTCAAAAGATGCTGCTTATTGCTTGTGGTGTTATCTTTTCAAAGATTCAAATAAAGGAAACCGAGTTGGAGAAGTTGCATTTACCGAGAAAGGGGTAAATAATTGGAAAAAAGCACTAGATATATTCAATACTCATGTTGGTGTGGTGGGTAGTGGTCACAATAATGCTAGAGTGAAACTTGAAACTTTTCAAAATCAAAGACAAAGTATCTCACATTTGATAAGTGCACATGGGCGGGAAATAGAAGCTGCGTATCGCATTCGTTTAACCGCAATTTTGGATGTGATACGATTTCTGTTGAAGCAAGGTCTAGCATTTCGTGGTCATGATGAGTCATCTAGTTCTTTAAATAAAGGTAATTTCCTTGAATTACTAGAATGGTATAGTCAAAGAAATGAAGAGGTTGCTAATACATTGAATGAGAATGCTCCCGGAAATAATCAAATGACATCTCCAAAAATTCAAAAAGAATTAACTAATGCTTGTGCATTTGAAGTCACACGAGTTATTCTTGAAGATATTGGAGATAATTTATTTACTCTTATGGTTGATGAATGTAGAGATGTTTCAGTTAAGGAGCAAATGGGAGTTGTTTTGAGATATGTGGATAAACGTGGATATGTGATTGAACGTTTCCTTGGCATTGTGCATGTTACTGATACTTCTGCTATGTCTTTGAAAAGTGTTGTTGATGAGTTGTTTTCAAAGCATAAATTGTCTTTATCAAAACTCAGAGGTCAAGGATATGATGGCGCTTCAAATATGAGAGGTGAGTACAATGGATTAAATGCTCTCATATTAAAGGAAAATCCTTCAGCAAGGTATGTGCATTGCTTTTCTCACCAACTTCAACTAGTTGTTGTTGCTGTTGCTAAGTCTAATCGAATTGTGTGTGACTTTTTCCAATATGTTATTATGCTTGTGAATGTCACTGGTGCTTCTTGTAAAAGAAAAGATAGACTTAGACAAATAGAGCATGACAGACTAGTTGAGAGTTTGGAGAAGGGAGAGATAGTAAGTGGGAAAGGGGAAAATCAAGAAGTAAGTTTGAGAAGACCGGGGGATACTCGTTGGGGGTCACACTACATAACTATTGTGCGTTTGATGTCTATGTGGACTTCGGTTTTAAAAGCACTTGAAAATGTGCATGATGATGGAGCTACCGAGGAGCGGGGTATGGCTTCAAGTTTAATCAACAAGATGGAGAATTATGAATTTGTCTTCGTTATGCATTTAATGATGTATTTGTTTGGAATTACTAATGAGTTGTCTCTTGCCTTGCAACAAAAAGATCAAAATATTGTTTTGGCAATCAACTTGATTGGGACAATGAAAGTTAGATTGCAAGAATTCCGAGATAATGGGTGGGAGAGTCTTTTAGAAGAAACAAATACATTTTGTGAAAAAGTCAACATCCCGATCTTAAACATGGAAGAAGAAGTACTAATTCGTGGGCGTAGTAGACGAAGCAGAAACACAACCACAAATTTGATTCACTTTCGCGGCGGAATCTTTTGTGAGGTATATGACTATGTCTTTTGATTATTTTTTAATATTAGTATTGTATTCCATTATTTTGATTATATTATTTTGTACTATGTATTAGGTTGTTGACAAGATGATTGTGGAGATGAATAATCGTTTTTCAGAGGCAAGTACTGAGTTACTTACTTGTATTGCATGTCTTGATCCAAGAAATTCTTTCTATCAATTTGACATTGATAAACTGATTCATATGGCTGAAATGTATGTGGAAGACTTTTCTTCTACCGATCGTTTTATGCTTAAGCAACAACTTGAGACATACATTCATGCCGTAAAGAGTCAAAGTCAATTTCATGCAATTGAAGATTTGGGAAGTCTTGCCAAACAAATGGTTGAAAGTGGCATGAACCTTGTGTTTTCTTTGGTATATCGTCTTATTGAGTTGGCGTTAGTTTTACCGGTTGCAACAGCTTCAGTTGAAAGAGTCTTTTCTGGCATGAAAATCATCAAGACTGATTTACGGAGTAGAATGGGAGATGAATGGATGAATGATAGTTTGGTGATCTACATGGAGAAGGAAATTTTTTCCAAGATTGAAAATGAAGCAATTTTGCAACGTTTTCAATGTATGCAAACACGCCGTACGCAATTGTCTAAATTGGCTTCTTCTTCTTCTAACATTTAATTTTATATTATGTAAACTTTAATAGCAATTTATATTTTTGTATTTGGTAATACTTTTAGCTACCCCTTTGTTTTCGTTCTGGTTCCGCCACTGTCTGCATGCATAAAAGAGCTTCCTTTGGATAACTTACGGTGTAAATACATTTATCATAAGTGTTTTTAGTTTTACTAATACATTGTTTCCTTAAATTAAAAACAAGGTGCATTTACATAGCTACTTTATTCAATTTTCCTGCCAAAAGCTTCTTTTTTGAAGTAAATGTACTCTTTTTCTTCTAAAAAGCACTTACTTTTTGAAAATAAGTCATCCTAAACGCACTCTGAATTATCTAAGGTACAATATACTTAAGTGTGAAGATTACAACGTAGAAATATACGCTAAGAGTTAATCACAACCACAAAAGTGATAGTTCACAGTAAGCTAAACCTTTTTCTTGAGCTTGTATCCGGTAAGTGTTCAGTAATCATGGAGATGGTAATCACCAGAATAAATGCCAGAATAAAAAAAAGCTAATACTACTCCGTATTAAATAAAAGCATACCTTTATAAAAGTTCCATTTGTGGCCATTGAATTTGGGGGCTTGAAGAAGAGTCTGAGGGATGGAAACAAAACATGCTGAATCGACCATTCTCGCTGCGCCCATGCGTTTTCAGCCATTGAAATTAAATCATTATCATATTCATCCTTCATGTTATCCTCTGAAGATTAAATAGCAAGCAAAACAATTTTCAGCTCCTATCTTGGGGGTGGGGGTGGGTGATTAGTTTTTTTTGTAGACATAATGATTACTCAAGAAAATAATTTGACCAGAACTCAAACCCCCAGAAATATTCCAGTGGCTAAACGTCTTGCAAGCTATAATTTTCTGTATGGCATACCATGTGCTGAGGTTGGGTAGTGACCTCGGCAGGTTAATGCCACCCAATGGGCATGATATTCAGACGTTTTGCATTATACTACCTTAATCCAAAAACAATGACCTACTTCACTATGTTACACCATTTCAATTTTAGTTATATTTTCAAATTCCCATGTTTTAAAAAATATATAATAAAAAATCAACTTCTTTTGTTGAAACGTTACTCTTTTCCTTTTAGGGAAAAAATAAGCTTCAGAATTTTTTTGTGTGTGCTGGAGTAGCATGAAAGATGTCTTGCATTGGAATACTTCCACATTTTTTTATGTATTCCATATCGAGTGCATTTCAGTTTCTTTGGAATTTTTCCATGCAAGGGCACATGATATACCGGTAGAGTTGGGGGATTTTTCTTGTCCAATGATACTGCTTGAACTTGTCTTTTTTTTGTAGAATTGCAAGCTTTCACCTGAGGGATTGGGTAACAAAGGAGTATGCATCGCATAGAAGTTGGCAAGAGCAGCAGATATTGATTGGAAGCAATCCTTTTCGTCCTCCCAGTGGATCTACCAAATACAATATTAAATTTTCAGGAATAAAAATACATTACATAATTATCAGAATAGAAGCTAGGTAGAAGATGGAAATGAAATCACCTTAATGAGAGAGAGTTGTTACAGAGTATTTATACAAGCTGTAGTCACAACTAACTATCAGCTAACATAACCAAAGCCTAACAGAATATAGCTGTACTGTATGTCTGTATATTACAAGGAAATACACGTGTAGTTTTCATACACTATTCCTAACAATAATAAATGCACATTCCGATACAAAATTAAGAGTACCGTGAGAGGGAATACTTCAAGGATAAAATGAAGACGGGTTGAGTATCTGTCAGGGATAAAAATCTACTTTTGTTCTCACAACTATTAGGACATTTTAACTATTAAGCATTGTTTGGTCTAGAAAAAAGTGAGAAGAGAGGAAAGAAGAAAGAGATTGAAGAGAAAGAAAGAGATAAGAAAAATTGGGCAGACTATAGATATTACATGGTATAACGTTATAAGAGAAAAAGAGAAGAAATGAGGAGAAACAAATATGCATCTCTTCTTTATCTGGTTAGGCAGAAAGAACTAAACAAGAAAATGATGATGTGCTTATTAGACAAATATCCCCTAATAAAAAGAACATATGCATTAATGGAATGGAAAGAAATGGAATAATGCACAAAATTAAATATTCATTTTCTACCGTTAATACAAAAGATCTTTAGAAGGTATGTTGAGCACATTTCTCTCTTATATCCTTAGCTTTTAGGCCAAACAAAACAAATGGCCAAACTATCTTATTTTTATCTTCATTTCCATTGCTTTTGCTTTCCACCCCTACCAAAACGATGTCATTTCACGACTTTCATTTTTCCACTTATGGGCACAACTACAAAGTTTTTGCCACTTTTGGTCTTTTCTATTTAGTGATAGGGCAAAAATCAACAACATGCCAGATAAGTGGTCGGAAGTTCAATTATAGCTATTGTTGTTATTATTATTACTTTGCTATGAAGCAGCAATCAATCCATGCAATTTATGATGCGATTTTTATAATGGGTTATCCGGAAACAGTTGTTGGGAATATTTTATGGTGTCTAATCTAGTTAAATATCTTTGTATTGGTGTAGTTATTATTTAGATGTGTAAGATGGGCCACGGATGTATTTCAGCCCATTAGCCCTCTTGTAAGCCTTAAGTTAGACATCCTTATGTATAAAAGGAAGCTAACTTAAGAGAAACCCTAAGTCTAATAGAGAAATATTCACGCACATATCATTTTTAGAGAGAAGTGAGAAAAACGCCATTCATACCCTACTCTATAATTCGAGATCTTTATTGGTATTGAATCGAAGCTGAATCGAAGCTGTTTCTTCTCTACTCTATCCTATTTTGTCATTTTGATTGTTGAATAGAGGGAAAAACAACAGTCTCTTTGTACTTTAGTACAGGGTAAGGCCGCATACATCCGAACCCCCCTTACTACACTGTAGGTGGGGAGCCTTTGTGGCACTAGGGTACTGTTGTTGTATTATTATTTTGTTGTTATATTTAACACACCAGTCTCCAACTTTTAGAGGGACTTCACAGACTTAACCCAGAAACAACTAACATGCACTATTGGTTCAAGCACTAGGAATAGAATAAAAGAATTCAATATGAAGAAGAATATAAAGTAGACCTACATCATTTCCCAAACAAAGCACAAACTCGGGGACACGGTCCATGTCAGGTGTGTACTGATCCAGTATGACAGGAAGTCTGGACAAATTACCATTTGAATCAATATGGATGCTAAAATACTCATCCAGCAATTCAGATTTTTGTTTAAGAAGATCTCTATTCATCTGAAAACAAGAAAAGGAAGTCTTTAAGTAAAAACTGCATTATAGATTCATAAGAAAACTCATTCAACGAATGAATGAGGGTAAAAATTGAAATATTTCAAACATTCAAATCCTTAATGTGCCCACATCGCCAAAAATGGTAATAATCTGTGTGGATCCATGTGAGTTTCATGGGACCACATGAGTCTATTTCCCACTTTTAAACAGGAAAAAAGTTCAGTACTTTTTAAAATTCTATTTCTTATGCTCTCGGGAGAAAGTATAAAGTATTAAGATAAAAGTTACATCAGCAATCTTTTCTTTCAGATCATCATCTCCATTACTTTCGCTAGCCACATCTTCTTCTCTAAGAGCAAGCATTAGCAACTCATGTAATGGGGCAGGCTCACTTAGTTGAATGGCATTAAAATGGGCAAACCGCCTCAAAGCTTGTTGGTACATGAGCTCTTTGCTGTGAACCATCAAATTAAAGGAAATATTTTCAAGAAAAATTGTGTGCAGTCCGAAGGAACAAAAAATGCAATGAAAAAACTCAAACTGATAATACTAATGTGTTATATATATCAAAAGTTCACAAGAAAGAAAATTTGGCTTTTCTTTATGCAATCCATTTTAAACTTGAAAAATAGGGAGGAAAACCGAGAAGAAAACTGGAACCAAAGAAAAATTGGAAGAATAATAGATGAGCTCAAATATAATAAATTTGTTTGACTCAAACATAGTTAAAATAGTTTAAATATTGAGGTAAGGGTAAGATTGGTACTCGAAATTGCATAAAAAGGGTCAAATAAGTCCTTAACTCCTTATATAGGAGGCTTTGTCCGGCCGTCGCCATTCGGGGCGGTTCCCAGTGGAATTTTTTTGAGCATCTTATTCATCAAGTCTAGTTTACTCATACCAAATTTCAGCTAAAAATCCAATTGAGGAGGCATTCAAATGAAGTCTTGAAGATAACTGCACAATTAAAAGCGCAGTTACCTCCAATAATTCATTTGAATGCCTCCCCGGTTGAAGTTTTAGCTTAAATTTGGTATGCGTAAACTAGACTTAATGAATAAGATGCTCAAAAGATTTCATCAAAAAATTCCACCGGGAACCTTCCCAAATGGCGACAGCCAGACAGTAAGGACTTATTTGACCCTTTTTATGCAATTTCGAGTACCAATCTGACTCTTACCTCTTTACATATTTGTTCAAGCTCACTTTCCTTATCTTTTTTAATTATATAGACTATACGGTCTAATATATGGATAAAGAGAAAGTTAATCATAACTCGTTGGTCTTTGCATGGTAAAACAAAACATAAGAAAAAATGTCTTTCCTTGGTATTTTTTCCCTTCCCTGGCAATTCTGGGATGCAATCATACCATAGATGACTAGAGTATTCCCCCAGACAAATAAGAAGTGTATAAAGTCAATTTTGGGATGCAATCTTACCTATTTTAAGAATCAATTTTGTATGCATGAATCGCTATCCAAATAAGAAGTGTATCTTTGCCTGTTCACTAAATTTAGGCTCATTTTATGACTCAATTTGGTCCTCATTTGGGTGATCCAGACTAAATTTAGTCTTCAAAATTGATTCTGAAAGAAAGTTGATGGACAAATTGAGTAATAATATATAGTTAAAGGACTAAATCATGTATTTACTCTTAACCTTAGAAGGATGAGAATGCAATAAAAGGCTTCAGAATTAGTTCTCATACTTGTGTGATTACAAATGCTTTTTAAAGTTAATTAACTAAAAGAATTAAAGAACTTACCTCAGGTCAACTACATTAGCAAGATAAAGGTGAGTTTGGTGTTGAAGTAAAGCAAAAACATCATCAGCCATTCCAATGTATGTGCAGTGCCTCACAATGTCCAGTAAACCTATGAGTTTTTAATTGGTTAAAAACAAAAAGCAGATTTGATCATTGTATAGTACAATATACAAACGCATACCGGAATGACAGGTAGATTCAATCTCATTGATGAGCTCTTGAATGCTAGTAAGGTCAGCAGTCTCTTTAGGGTTTCTCCTTTTTCTAATAGAAGCCCTAAAGCACCAGTTCATTACATAAAAATACAGCAGTGCTAAGATCAATGAATGAAACTTGTTTAGCCTAATCAAACCCCTATGCCCTACTCTTTGTATACAAGTGCCTATTTTAAATTATAATTTCATGTATTATGTCAAGTCAAAATATGAATGAGCGCGCACGTGCACAAAAGATGAATTCTACCTCACAGAGGTCAAGCAAGTACTTTTTTCTGGATTATTAGAAGGTGCAATTTGCAGGTAGGCATCCAGCCTTCCAGCAGGATCCAGTGTATCTGTCCTTACCATTTTATGTACAGGAGTTTTTTGTGATTTTATCTCTGTAAAATGAAGAGCAACAAATAGCATTATTAATAAATAATGCATAGAATCTTAAAAGACAAAAGATATCTACAGTTTTACACATCATAACATGTTACATTTGCTCATCCACTATTCCACATTCCACTATACCAGATCTGGATGAATCTTTTTGTGAATCTTTCCTTGTTGCCAATGTGCTAGGTGAAGAAGGATGAACTGCCTGTAGAACTCACAAATTTAGAATAAGAACAGGTGAGTTGTGGAGTCATAATGAAGCATGTGAGCCTTTAAGAGGGGTTTTGAAATTAATTCTGCATCTGCATCTTTTTTAAATGCGGAAGCAAAATAAGAATTTTATGCTGTGTGAAAAAGTGATTCTGCACTTTTACCCAAACACTTCAATATCTGCTTCTGTTCCTTGAAAGATTAGAAGCAGTTTTAAGAATTAGATTCAAACCCCCCCCTAAATGAGTTAGGACTTGATTGAAAACAAAACTTATTCATTTAGTCAAAAAATTGACTTAAACATTACGTTGTGATATAATAGGACCCCCTTCCTATTAAGACGGTTATTATTAAGAAGTCAATTTAGCCAGTTTTTTACACCCATTATAGAATAGATATGTGTGTGTATTAATAAGTGACACTACACATTGTTAAGATAACCCAAACTAACATTATATTAATTATTTCAGACAATTCAGACTATTCATTTAGCACACAAATTAAATACTCTCGTCTAAAAAATAGTACTTAAATCGAGACAGACAGCCAGACATGCATCTTAACTCATACAAGGCTTAATAGACAAACAGGTAAACAGTCCCTCAGAATGCCCTAATGCTTACAAAAAAGTTATGTTCGCATTGAATGAAAAAATGTTTTACCTGAACTGACATTTTACTTTTGATTATGCAAGGTATACAGTGATAGGGACCTAGATAGTATTAGTGATAAGAATAATTGTCTTTTAATAGTGTTTAATAATAAAGGGCTTAGGCCCTGTAACTAAATAGCTTTGGGCCGGCCCATAAGGCATATATTAAATATGGGTTGGGGCTTAGAAGAAGGTAGGCAGAATTTGGATCTGGAATTGACCTTGGGAGTGTGAGACGACTCGAACTGTCTCGATCTGTTTTCTTCTTTATTTCCGTTTCTTTCATTCTCAGTTGTAATCGACAGATTTCATAGTAAGTAAATCATCAATTTCTGCTGTGTTTGTTGAGGTTCCTATCATTGGTATCAGAGCACTAGTTCCTGGTGACCGGAATTGATTGGCGACCTCAGCAACTATTTCGTTGGGTGGTGGATGGTAAGGACAAAAGCGAGAATGGAGTTGCGAATGGAGAATGTGGAACGAAATATGGCAGAGATGCAAGGAATTCTGTCGGAAGTACAACAGGGATTGCGATCATCGGTGGATGATCATCGTGTTGCATTGGAGAATTTGGCGGCAAACATGGCGGCATCCATGACCGCGATGACGGAACAACTGCGATCCAGAGAGAGATCGCGATCGCAAATCCGACATCACACTTGGCCATCTAACAGTCCGGCGACTTCCGGAGGTAATCCAGATGACTCTTACATCCAAAATCACAGAATGACTGAGGATGTTCATAGATTTCCAGTATATACAGGAAGAAAAATTGATTTACCTGTTTTTAATGGGGAAGGGGCGTATAACTGGATTGTGAAGATGGAACGATATTTTCGTTTGAACCAAATTAATGAAGAGGAACAGGTAGAAGTTGCATCAGTCGCTATGGAAGGGAGGGCTGTGAACTGGTTCATATGGTGGGAACACCAAATGGAAAGGAAAACTTGGGAGAATCTAAAAGCAACTGTCATACGTAGATTTCAGGCGGACCTAATTCAAAATCCATATGGACCCATGCTTAGCTTGAAGCAAACTGGAACTGTTAGGGAGTTTAGAGATGAATTTGAAATGGTGATAGCTTCTCAAATCAATGTTGATATGGGGATCCTTAGAGGAATTTTCATTAATGGCCTGAAGGAGGAGATAAAAGCTGAACTTAAATTGCATAATACCACATCATTGAATGAAATTATGGACAGAGCCTTATTGATTGAGAGTAGGAATGAAGCTATATACCTGAAGAGAAGGGAGGAAGACAAATTACCTTGGAAAGAGAAGGGGACTGCAGCTGTTAAACCACAAGCTTGGACTGAGGGGTACAAGTCCAAACCTGGCAATACTGGACCTCATAATAGCGAGAAGAATGGGGCAGATAGTAAGAATAACCAGTCTTGGTTCAATTCTATGACTAGAGTTACAGAGATTCATCCCTCAGACATCAGAAGGGTGGGGCCACAACTGTCACAGGAAGAATATCAGGACAGGAGCAGGAAGGGCCTTTGCTTCAAGTGGGGAAAAATGGAACAAGTAACATACCTGCAAATTAAAGAATTATAAACTCATATTGGTGGAAGATTCTGATAGTGAGGAAGAAGTAGAAGGTGCAGAGGTGGAAATTGCAGCAGAAGAAGTAACTACCATGGAATTTAAGTCCATGCAACTTTCTATTATGAGTAAGGAAGGGATACCCTCCATGAGGGCTTTTAAGGTGCAGGGGATTCTGAAATGGGCCAATGGAGAAAAGCAAATAGAGGTTTTGATTGATAGTGGGGCTTCACACAATTTCATATCTCAGAAATTGGTAGAACAATTCAATTTACCTTATTACACTATCTCAGACTATAAGATACAGATTGGAAATGGTGATAAGATCTCCAATAAGGGCAGATGTGAGGATTTGATTTTGAGTATGCAAGGAACTGTCATCCAACAAAACTTCTATATCCTGGAGTTGGGGGAAACTGATTTGGTCCTTGGCATGGAAGGGTTGACCACTTTGGGGGATGTGGAAGTCAATTTTCAGAAGCATAGTATCAAGTGGCAACAGTCTGGGATAATTCAGACCATTCAGGGGGGTCTTAAGCTAAATTATATTGAAATATCATTGAAGACTATGTCAAAGATCATGAGGGATATTGGGGATGGTTATATGTTGTTCTGTGATGGCAGAATAAGAGAAGAGGGGGAAGGCCCTCAGAAGGATTCCATTTGGGAAGAAACCTTGGCTGAATTGCCTGAGGTATCAACTCCTATACAAGGGTTACTTCCCACCAGAACTTGTAACCATACCATCAACATAAAGGAGCAGAAATACCTAACTTAAGGCCCTACAGGTATCCACAATATCAGAAGGATGAGAGTGAAAGGATCATCAGGGAAATGCTTCAATCTGGAATTATACATTTGGGTGGAATCAAGGTGGAGCTGGATCCTACTTTTCAGGCGGTTGTGATTGATGTCTCCCAGATAGGGTACCTCGTGGATAGAATTGTTGGATGTACTGAATATTCATTGTGAAGCTCTAGGTCCAAATGGGAAGATTTTGCCACTTCATGTGTCCGAGCTGAAGTATTGGGAAGGCAGAGGCGCGAGGAAGAAGCTGAAGGACATGGCTGTTTCGTACTCCCCACCTTGAGGACAAGGTGGTTGTCAAAGGGGGAGTATTGATAGGGACCTGGATAGTATTAGTGATAAGAATAATTGTCTTTTAATAGTGTTTAATAATGAAGGGCTTAGGCCCTGTAACTAAATAGCTTTGGGCCGGCCCATAAGGCATATATTAAATATGGGTTGGGGCTTAGAAGAAGGTAGGCAGAATTTGGATCTGGAATTGGCCTTGGGAGTGTGAGACGACTAGAACTGTCTCGATCTGTTTTCTTCTTTATTTCCGTTTCTTTCATTCTCAGTTGTAATCGACAGATTTCATAGTCAGTAAATCATCAATTTCTGCTGTGTTTGTTGAGGTTCCTATCATACAGAGCATAGTGAACAATGGCATGGTAGTTCTAATGTAGAGAACAAAAGTAATAGTACATTCAAGATCATGGATCCAGATCAATACACTTAAGAATACCTGCTCTTGGAATGTCCTGGACTCATTACAACTTCTCAGGTTGAGTTCTACCACAGATTGTATCTTCTCTAGAATAACCTCTTGGTTCAATAGGCTAACCTGTGCATTAAACATTTAACATGTAAACGTGACAATAACCACCTCTAATCTGTAACATGCTCAATTTGTAAACATAAAATAGTAGCAATTACAATTTGTGAAAGAAAATTGGCAGAAGCTTCAATTTCCCTGTAGATTCCAATCTTTTGTGCTTGTTAACCATTTTGTTCCTTTTCTCCTGATATTTGCACATAATTCATTCAAAAAATGAATGAAACGGTATTCAGTGTATATGCTAACTTTTTTCTTCTACTAAAGTTGTTTTAAATTACAAAAGTGAACGCCTGTATATAGCATAAATGTCTGCTGATACAATGTAAACATTATCTCATTTGGCATCGCGTGCGGATTTCCTAAAGCTATTTCAATTAGCTTTATCATCAACATCGCCTGAACTTGAACTGGCTGTTTTCCATGACATTAAGTTTATAGTGCACCTAATATATTTAACATTATAAAGCACAAAAAGTGCTCTTGAAGTAGTTGTCACTTCATGCCGCAACATTCTTGTGAATGAATAATATCATATGTTAGTTCTACTTCCATGCAGAATACCATGAAGGGGTGATGAGTTAAGATATTTGTCAGTCATGTTCCATTACAAGATTGACATTGTAAACCAACAAGAAAAACATGATCAAAAACATTAATAATAGGCCTGTCAAAATATTTAAAGAATTTGACCTAAATGGGACTAAAACATTAATAAAATTCATAAATAGGACTACAAGTTTATTTTTCCCTAAGATAGGACTCCAGATTATATTTTTACCCTTCCTATAATTAAACCCCACCGATCGCAGACATCTATCATCCTCTCTCCATCTTCATCGACAGTAGCCGGACCGTAGCCGCACCGCTGTTCTACAACTTCTCCGGTGAAGCCAGGTAAGTTTCTTCTACTTCTCCTTCTCCTTCTTCTCCTTCTTCCTCTTCTCCTCTCATCCTCTTCTTGTCCTCTGCTTGCTTTCCAATTTATTTTCTATCAAATCAAAAACTGGATTTGAAATTTCATCCTCTTCTTGTCCTCTGTTTGATTTTCGTTTCTTTATTTTCTATCAAATCAAGACATGGATTTAAAAAATTTAGATGAGGACTAGATTTCAAAGAACAATTGATCGGAATTTTTCAATTTGAATTTTTATTTATTTATTATCAATTTTGATTATGAGAATGTCTCAATTACTGATTATAAAAAAATGTCACTTTTAGAGCCCGTTTGGTGACCCCTTTTTTCAGCTTATCAGGCTTATCAGTCAACTTTTTCACCAAACACGTAATTTTTGGTTTCACATGCTGAATTATGTAATAAGCAGAAAAAGTAAGGTTGGAGTTACTTTTTAGGTTGTATTGGCTGAAGTTACTGCAGAGGATCATTTTAGCTATTTTTTCATATTAATTTTTAATTTTATTTACTAATAACAAATATTTTAAATACAGCAAAATCAGCCAATACAACAACTTCAGCCAGAACTTCATAAATTTCAACAGAATCAGCCAATTTTAGTGTTACCAAACGAGCTCTTAAAATCTGAGGATGCCATAATTATTTGTTAATTTAAAAGAACGTCATTTTTATGGCATTACATTGGACATGTCTGCCAAATGGTGTCATTTTTATGAGACTAAATGAACAAAAGGCAAAAAAAAGTAGACTAAAGGGTCAAATAGGTCCCTGTACCCATATCAATAGCTCAATTGGGTACCCGAACTAAAAAAAGGTCCAATCCAATCCTCCAACTCTTCAAAATCATTCAATTTTTTCGTTTAGCCGGTAAGACAACTTTTTTATGTTGGGTCAGCGGGTTAAATGATAGAGAGCAAGAAGAACATGGGGCGGGAACGGGATTGGGCTCACTTTCGTGGGCCGGTTCTGGGCTAGGGATTATAGTTTTATTTATTATTATAAAATTTATCGTTATGTTTTTAGTTTGGGCCTATTATTAGTAGAGTTAGTATGGGCTTAATTAGGATTTAATTAATTTGGGCTTGATCAGGGTTCTTGTAGAAGGCTATTTATACCCCTCGCCAGGGTTCATTCTGATTATCTGGGAATAAAATTGGTTTTAGCCTTTTGGCTCCGGGCAACGGTTTACCCCGTTGATTTTATTTTATTTTATTTTGTTATTCAACAATTGGTCCGACCTGCCGGATCCCGTTTCCGCCGGAATGACCAGATCTAACACTGAGCGTTTGACGGAGGTGGAGGCCGGACAGGCCTCGATGAGGCCTCGATGAACCAGAAACTAGATGCGCTGAGTGCGCAAGTGGGTGAGATCGCAGCCGCCCTGGCTGCGCTCACGACGGAAGGCGCAACTGGAGAGAAGGTGACAACGGCGTCCGGGGCTTCGGCGGCGGCGATGACGTCGCAGAACGAGACGGCGTCCACCTTCAGTAGCGGCGGTGACTTCGAAGACCAGGGCGGCTTCGCCGCTTCTGGGCGACGTCCGCGAGGCACGCAGGAGGCGCTGCTTCCTTCGTTTGACGGGGCGGATCCCATTGATTGGTTTGCTAGGGCAGAGCATCAATTTGAATTGAGTTGTACGCCACCCGAGAGGAAGGTACCAGCGGCTGTAGTTGCCATGGAAGGAGCAGCCTTGTACTGGGTAACGTGGTTAAGGAAGCGGAAGCCTAGCATGACGTGGGAAGAGTTTAAGCAGGCACTGGTGGCGAGGTTTGACACTCGGTTTACGGGCAGTCGTTTCGAGCGATTGTCCGGGGTCAAGCAGACAGGGACGGTGGAGGAGTATACCTTTATCTTTGTCCAGTTGGCGAGTCAGGTTCCTGGGTTATCTGACGATCATTAAATCGGGAATTTTATGAATGGACTAAAGGGACCGGTTCGGGGTTCGTTGCGGTTGCTACGCCCGAATAACTTGGAGACAGCCATGGAATTAGCTCGTGATGTGGAGTACAATCTGTCCGTCCAGCGTGGAGGAAGTGACAGCCAGGATTATAATCCTTCAGGTGTACGTTCCAGTAGCTTTTTAAGGCCAAACACGAGCCCTACGTTGACTGCCAGTGGTGAGTGGTGACAGCCTACAGGAATCAAGTGGCAGCTTCCCGAAGGATAGTGGACAACCCCCGGGGACAAAGGCAAGACTGTCCGGGCAGCCTACGACACGTTCCCAGTTCACTCGACTTCCGCCAATGGAGTTCGCAGAATTGAGGGCTAAAGGATTATGTTTTAGGTGTAAGAAACCATTTACACCAGGGCATGAATGCCCCTTAAGCAGTTGCGGGTGATGATAGCCGAGGAGGATGAGGAGTTGGACCTCCAACAACATAAGTACTGTGAAATAACTGGCCGGGTTCCGGAAGGCGATGAAGGATATTTTCTCGTTTATTCCATGGTTGGAAATTTCAGTCCTCGGTCTGCGAAATTACAACTTTGAGGACAAGGTTATTTGAAGGGGGGTGGATTGATAGAGAGCAATAAGAACATGGGGCGGGAACGGGATTGGGCTCACTTCCGTGGGCCGATTCTGGGCTAGGGATTATTGTTTTATTTATTATTATAAAATTTATCGTTATGTTTTTAGTTTGGGCCTATTATTAGTAGAGTATTTAGTAGAGTTAGTATGGGCTTAATTAGGATTTAATTAATTTGGGCTTGATTAGGGTTCTTGTAGAAGGCTATTTATACCCCTCGCAAGGGTTCATTCTGATTATCTGGGAATAAAATTGGTTTTAGCCTTTTGGCTCTGGACAATGGTATTTTTATCGTTGATTATCTAGGCAACGGTTTACCCCGTTGATTTTATTTTATTTTATTTTGTTATTCAACATTAAATGCCAAGTGTTATCTGATTTATACAAATACATTACGACGTGGAAGGAAGGTGTGTCTTCACATTATGAAAACGAAGATCTGCAAACCGTTGCCCGGAGCGACGATGAACAGTGACGAATTTTGACCTAAGGCGAACAATCAAGCACAACGAGTGAAGGACGAAGAGGGAAGAAAGAACGTTGAAGGATAGGAGAAAGAGGAGACCTAAAGTGTATGTATAATAAGCGAAGGACGAGCGACGATAAACACCAGGTACAGAAAATTCAATTGCAGCTTAAACTTATAGTTCTACGCATAATAAAAGTCTATCGTTTGTATGCCAACTATTACCAAGGAAGAAGAATTTCCGTAAATGAATCTGTATTTAAGTGAATTGTCAATAACTTGTGAATTTTTCATTCACCATTAAAGAATGGAAGAGGAATTTTGAAAAAAATAGATACCCTAATTGTATGATTTCTTGAAATTGAGGTTGTGAACTGTATGTATACGTGTTATATATCTGGTGTGTATGTTTGTTTTGTATATGTGTTGGTTATTTGTTGAAAAAATGTTATATTTTTCAGAATGTGGGAGACTTTGGATTTGATTGTACACTACGGTGGAAATTTTGAGAGGAGCAAGACCAACGAGGTATGTGAATGAGAGCATTGAGGTGATTAAGAGTGACCCAGATGTCATTTCTTATCCTCATTTCAAGAAATATCTGGAATCTGGGCCATTTGGATGTGTAAAAGAAATGCTTTTTAAATTGCCATCTGAACCATTAGAAGCATTAAGGAAATTAATGGATGATGCGAGCACTTTGGAGTTGGTCAGTTTGTGTTCTAGTGTCGGAAAGTGTGACCTTTATGTAGATCATGGGGATGGTGTTGGTGGTGACACACATAATATGGATGCATGGTTTTTAAAGGCGTTTCGCATCTACGCCTCTGAGGCGCAAAGGCGCTAAAGCGTTAAAAAGTCGCCTGCAAGGCTTAAGCCTGGCCTTCCACTAACAAGGCTTACGCCTTTTTTTACTGAGGCGGTGATGCGGTCCAATGCGCAAGGCGAAGTTGAGGCGTACGCATTTAATTAAATGCAACTTGGGCTTTTTTTTGAATTATTGGGGGCCTCGATTTTTAAAAATAAAAAAATTACTGCATGTTTATCTCTTAGTCGACACAAGACAGCCCTAGCTCCACTACTACGAAGAGCGACATGAAGAACTGTCAGTCGAAGCCTAGAAGTTGAGTACATACTACATAGACTTCGATCTTTCAGAGTTGCTTCCATTCCAGATGTTATCAAGTAAATAGAGTAAAATATCCCACCGCCCACTTGTATAAAATATCCCACCGCAGCTTCTGAAGTTTGTTTCTTATTGTATTTATTGTTTAAATGTACCGGAGTATTTATTTAAATTTTTAATTATTTAAAAGTTCAGTTTTTATTGTATCTACTACGTATTAATGCTTTTTCAGCCAGCAAACTATAAAACATCCCACCGCCCCACTTCTTAGTTGTTTTGGTATAAGATATTATGGTTGCCATTCAATATTATTACTGTATTATTATGGTTTAAACTTTAAAGTGATCATAAAACTATCATTTAGCTTATTTATTTGTTTAATATTACGTACTTTACTAGTTTACTACTTTACTTGGATCAAGATTTACAATTTAATTAGAAATATTATAAATAACTTCATTACAGTTTGGTTATATCTTCTTTTTTTAAGTTGATTATTAATTAATTGGCTATTTTGTGTATCTAGTTTATTTAAATTCATGTAAACAAATCATTTTACTTGTGATTTTGTTTAGCTGCAATATTGTTTAACATTTAAGAAATTAATTTTGAGGCTTACGCCTCGTTACGCCTCGAGGCTTACGCCTCGTGAGGCTACCACAGAACGCCTCGAGGCCCGATTTCGCCTTTCAAAACCTTGTATGGATGCAATGGAAACGGTTGAGTTTGTTGATGAAAGGGATGACACATACATGAGTGATGAACCTGATCTAGATGATGATATTGGATCCTTACATGGTGATGAAGATGTAGAAAATGTTGATGGGAATGACTCTGATGAATTTGATGGGAGTGACTGCAATGAGTCTGGTGTTGCCAGTTATGCAATGTGGAAGTGCAATCATGTCATGAAGAACAGGTGGTGCGGGGACAGTCCAAGAAAATTAGAATTCAAAATGCACATGAAGAGGATGTTGAAAGTGATGATACAGATGATTTATATTCTTCAGACAACCACCCTGGCCACCTACCTATACTTCTAAAACATAGTCACTCAATGAAGGGGAAGTCCAGTCTAAGAAGAAGATTAAAGTAGTTTCATACAACCCCTGTCTGATTCTCCTTCCATTGAACTAAGGATGCTTTTCGAGGATAGTATTCAGTTTAAGAAAGTCGTGATTGCATATGCAGTGCACTATAAAAAGAACCTTTATTTTAAGAAAAAATCAACACAAAGAGTTTTGGTAAAATGTGCAGGAGAGAATTGTCCCTTCTCTTGTTATGTCAGTTGGTAGGATAGGTACAAGTGTTTCCAAATCAGGATAGGTACAAGTGTTTCCAAATCAAGAGTATGGTCATGACTCACATATGTAATAGCAAATTTAAGTCGGAGATTGTTAGTCAAAAATGGTTGGAGGACAAATACAACAACAACAACAACATCCAAGCCTTAGTCCTAAAGATATTGGGGTCGGCTAAGATGAATCGATACATGATATCACCACCAAAAGGAAAAGAAAGGAAATAAAGATAAAAAAGATAAGCTATTATAAAAAGATAATATAAAAAGAGATGAATATACATAAAAATGATAAAATAAAAAGGATACAAATAATGCTTATATATATAAGGATAAAAAACAAGGAAAAAAGATGAGGGAAAAAGATGATACGAGATCACTCCTCCACACGAATACCCGCCCTCCACTTAGCTCTCTCCAAAGTGATGCCCTCATCCAACCCCAGAAGAAGCATATCACTCCGAACTCCCCTAACTCACGTCTGTTTGGGTCTTCCTCTCCCTCTCTTCTCTGCCTCTTCTCCACACATCTCAACTCGTCTGACAGGTGCATCACTCGGTCTTCTACGCACATGACCAAACCACCGTAGGCGTGACTCCCGCATCTTATCTTCAATAGGTGTTACTCCCACCCTTTGTCTGATTGTCTCATTCCTCATGTGGTCCTTCCTAGTATGCCCACACATCCAACGCAGCATGCGCATCTCTGCCACACTCATCTTTTGAATGTGACATTGTTTCACCGCTCAACACTCTACGACATACAGTAATGCAGGCCTAATTGCCGTCCTATAAAATTTACCCTTCAGTCTAGTCGGCATACCTCGATCGCATAGAAATCCTGACGCACTCTTCCACTTCATCCACCTTGTTCTGATTATATGGGATACATCTCCATCTAGCTCACTGTCCTTGTGAATTATGGAGCCCAAGTAACAGAGATGAACCTTCCCTTGGGTATGCTGGTTTGAAGGAGCATATTGAGTCTAAGTTGGGCATACATGTATCAACAAGCATGGTAAAGAGGGCATTGAAAGCAATTAAGAAGAAAATAAATGGAAATTTTGAAGAGCAGCTTACTAGATTGAGGGACAATGCTCAAGAATGCCTCGACTCCATTCCTAATAGCATCATGAAGATCCTCACTACCAGAACAGTCCCAGATGGACCTTGCCTTTTTCAAAGAATCTATTGTTGTTTTGGTGTAATGAAGAGAGGATTCCTAGATGGATGCAGAAAGATTATTGGTTTAGATGGGTGTTTCTTGAATGGTTTATTAAAGAGAGAGATTCTGACAGTCGTAGGAAGAGATGCTAACAACAACATGTACCCAATCGCTTGGGCTGTGGTGGAGATAAAAAACACACCGTCATGGAGCTGGTTTTTGGAGTTGCTTAAGGAGGACCTGCAGATTGTTGACAGCAGCCCGTGGAAATTCAAAAAATCAAACATTTTAATTAATGAAATTCAACAAATTAGTATAACTATCTTACCTTCCATTTTTGCATCCGTAAAATTGTCGTCCGCTCTCTCGTGCGGTACACAAGCGAGCTCTCAAACCACATGTGCAATTAACCGAGGGTTCATGCGGCCAACTTTTCTTGCCTGCAGAAGACATCGATGAATCAGACATTAGGAGTTACTCCCGTTCTCTTCATCTTCCCAGGTCAGAGCACTGGAGTCGGAGCACTAGAACCACAGGTTAATCGATTTGCTTTCTTTCCGATTTAGAAGCACCGGAGTTGCAGGTTACTAAGTTGGGTTTTGGGTTGATATAGAAGGATAAGGGTGACTCAGCAAAATATTTAAATTAATTAAACTCTTTTTTTTATGTTGACTCAGCATTAAACGGATTACTTGGAGAGGCAACCGGGAGTTTACTCGCTAAACGAAAAAAATGAATGATTTTGAAGAGTTGGAGGATTGGATTGGACCTTTTTTTAGTTCAGGTACCCAATTGAGGTATTGATATGGGTACAGGGACCTATTTGACCCTTTAGCCAAAAATTTATGACTTTTCATTTTTCATTTTTTCTCATATCTTAGATTTTTAATTTTAATCTGATGATTATGTAATTTCCAATGAAAATGGAAATATGGGAATGCATTTATTTTCAACATCTGAAAATGCCATTTTTCTATATGAAAATGTCATTGTTATGTCATTATTCATATTTAGTGTCATTCTCAGTGGAGGTCTGCAAGGACTTATCAGACTTGTTGGGGAGAGGCGGATTCGCTGGAGGATGGTGGCGGCGAACTTGCCGAAGGGCGGCGGCTGCGACGAACTTACTGGAGGATGGATAGTGCGGGCACTTATTGCATAGCACGTCAATTGAGAAGTCCTGGGCATCGGCGACTTAGAAGTCCTGGGCATCGGCGACTTAGAAGTCCTGGGCATCGGCACTTGCTGGCTGGGAAAAGTTCTAATTTTTCTCATCAAGGGTTATTTTGTCTTGTTGGTGTATTTTTAGTCCTATAAAACATATAAGTCCTATTCTTGCATTTCTACTGTTTTAGTCCTACTTAAGGAATTCTCTCAAATACTTAAGCTTGATAAAGAACAGATCATTCCACGATAACTACAAAATTGATAAGCAGTAAAATATAAAAGTTACAAGTCAAATACTAAAGGATGCACTATTAAAAAGAAACTAAAGGAAACGGCAGAAAGTAAAAAGTGAAAATGCAGAAAATGTGAAAGTGTGGGAGACCAGGGTGGAAAGGAAAATAACAAAATGGAGGAGGGGGAAGCAAACTGATCTTCCATAACAATGATGAGAACTCGCTATGACCTCCTCTTGAATGTCAAATCAAGAAAACTAAGAGCATAATTACCAATACCTCTCTTTTTGTGGGGTGTACATTCACATCAACATGCTCTGATGGCAGGGTGATTGATATATACACAAATGGTTTTGATGCTTTGGGCAATGTCGCGGAATAGACTATTTCAATTGCCCTCTTGAGAGCACCACATTCAACCAGCCTGTCTGGGAAAGGAAAATAACACATGAAAGATAACATGTGAAATCATGAAGACAACACACAAACCTTTTGGCAAAAAAAGGTCCTCAGGTGTTTACCTCAATAAGAGTTAAAATAGCAGAGTAAAATTGACATAGGATGCTAAGTATGTGAATAGGAGTATCTTCTGATGATAGTAAATCATGAAGTTGTACAAGGTGATAATTTCTAAGACCAATTTGAATGGGCCTATCTACTACAAAATGAACTCTAGTGATTGTTAACATGATAGTAAAGCAAAAAAAAGTGTCAGATCCCAGTATTCCAACAATCACGGAAGATAAAACAGAATAGATGAGAACGAGATGAAGGATCAAAGTATTGAATACCAAAGTGATGTTCGTTGATAAAGAAAAGTGTATTCAATACAAGCAGCGGCTCTTACTTCTCTCTAAATATGTGAATACCTATTACACAATTGTTACGATTCTTAGGGTTACGAGACTCAACCTCCAGACTTTTTATATGTATGAGAGTTGAGCCCGCTTACATTTGACGTACAAACTAAACAAATGGGCCTTAACATAAAGCTGGCCCGTTCTAATTAACTATTACAAAGATAATTAATACGATTGGACACAATTAAGTTATCTCTAACAATCTCCTCCTTTGTGTCCAATCATGACTAATCAGAATTGGAGTGCAGGTATCTTTGTCTTTGTGTTTGATCTGCAATGTATAGAAGAGAGTAGATGAGATTCGTTGAGTTAATCGTCTTGTGTCTTGTTCTTCAGTGCAGCTTGGGGTAAGTTGTCTTCTTTCTAAATTCCTAACAATCCCCCCTTTTGTCAGCATTTGAAGAAGTCTGATGGCGCCTCTAGAATGAATGTTCTTTAAGAGTTTTAGTCGCACACGGGATTCATCTTCAATATTTGATTGTCCGACCTCTGTATCTTTCAGAATATAATCATTTTGATTGTTTGATGTGAAAGACCTTGAAAGGAACACTTGTCATCGGTGGCATAGTGGAAAACGGTGGTGATTTGAGGATATGCTTGAAGCTCCTTCATCATTCACTTGGAGTTGTAGAGAGTTGTCACTATTTCAGTAGGAGGAGAGAAGTGGCCGAGAATGATTTTTGAATGTCTAGAGGCATGTGGACCACGCTCCCCCTCATGTCAATCCAATGAATTGAGACGTCATGCCTTTATTCACTTTTATTTTGGCTAGCATACAAAAACTAAAAACAACAAAAAATGGTATAAATCCAAAGACACCATGGTGTTCTATTAACACATCATCAATGAAAAACACTAATGTGTGGCCTGCATATAATGATAGAAGTGTTACAGCTCTCCAGCAAGACTTTCGACCAATCCTCGTGAATCATCTAAAGTACATGTCACTCTGATCGTTGTTGCATGATCGCAAGGATCAACGGAGAAAAATGTAACCCCAGGATCATGTAGACGCTCGTTAGCATTGCTCTAGAGGTAAACTTCAAAGGATGGCCTGAACACGTTGGTGATAGAGATATTGGAACGTCAGGACTTCCTTTCGATCCTTGGTCTTCATTTATAATAGTTGAGCCTATGGAAGTTCTAAAGAGTGTGTGTCCTAGATAATTCAAAACATTTGGGAATGGGGTAACTAGACACGACGTGATTAATGAAAGTAAGTGGTGTGTGATTGTGAACCACTGTAGTCAGTATCATTCGCCTCAGAAGGAGACGGTGATAGAAGATTAGGTTCCCAATGATTATGTTTAATCACTTGTCTATTGAGAGACAGATAAATGGTCTATGGTGTGGTTGTGCATGTGGCATGGACTGATGCAGTGACTTTTACCTTGGATCTGATTAAATAAGTCTTGTACCTATGAGGGTTGCTCGGTGTATTTGAGTGATTAGGACTGGTTGTCCTCATTTGTTAGCACATGTGAGGTTGCAGACTTGTGAGTGATTATTGTTTTCTTGCTCTTTTGAACCTTCTGCTTCCTCTCTCTCACAATGTTCATTTGCTCACTTTTGGTTTTGTTCAGTGGGTAGGCTCAGTTGGGTTTTACCGAGCCATTGGAACTTGTCTCTCAATGGTCTTCACTCAACAGATTGCATTTGTCATTGTTTTGGCGCCAGGAGGAGAAAATTTGAAACTCCTCTCAAAATGTGCATCTTTGAGTTGTCTTAGATTGATCTCAACGAAAAAGATACGTTCCTCTTCATAATTTGCAAGGAGAAAACTCCCCCTTGAAGTGTGTTTTTCGTTACTTGGAACCAGGAGGAGTGAAAAAGAAACACTCCCTCTCAGAATGTGCATTTGTTGTTTGACGTGTTTTGGCACTGGGGAGGTAATAGAGACGCTCCCCCCAGAGTGTGCTTTTGATACTTTTCTGCTCAGTGGGGAGTACACACGTTAATACTCCTTTTCATAATGTGCACGAGTTGATTGCTCACAGTTTATCTTCAAACCCGCCATGTGTGTGGAGCAATAAGATCAAGTACCACACATGACTAACCTGCAAAAGGTTAAGAAACCTTTAGTACCCATTTCAGGGCAGGCAGGTACACTCCTTTTTACACAAAACAAATTTTGAAAGCCTTGTTTTTTTTTGTTCTTAACCCAGTCTCCTTTGAACCTTTGGAAGAGCTATATGATTGGAATTATGATTTAGGAATTCATTTTTTAGTTATGGCAGGGTAGGAGAATTTTTCAGCACAGGTGAATGATGGTACAGATTTTTGAGAAGTAAAGATTTTTTTCCTAGATAACCCGTTTCAAATGTTTGGCTTAATAAACCTTGAGGGAATATTTCAGACAAACATCTTCATAAAAAGTATAGGTTAGAACTTTAAATCTCTTCTATTTAGATTTGTCATCATTCACATCACAATAATGATCAGGAGCATTCGCCTTTTGATTAAGCTTTTCAAGTTTGCTAAGTTTAGCATCGAAATTAGAAATCACAGAACCAAATTCATCAGAAAAAGACTAGGAAGAATGGTGTGGGACAGAGCTAAACGATTGAAAGCTTGATGAGCTTGAACTTTCTTTAAAATTACTCTTTAAAACAGGAGAGGGGGTGGAGGTTGTGTCTGTACTAGAGGGGGTTTTGCGAATAAAAATCTCATTTAAAAGTTGTTCTTTTTCTAATTTGAAAACCTCTTTTTCAGTTTCCAATATTTGTGCAAGTCCACAATTTTGCGAGTGATCTTTGGAATGTAAACATTATCAGTTTTGAGTTTTGAGTTTTACAGAAACAGATTTTTCTTCCTCGTAGATACAGACTCACTTGTTGGAGGAAAAAGTGATACATAATCATCAGACATAAGAATTTCCCTTGTCTTATAAGGGGCATTCAGTTTGGTGTAGTCAAACGCAAATGCATAAAACTTCAATCGATCACACGTACGACTCTAATACCAAATGTCAGATCCAAGTAATCCAACAATCACGGAAGTTAAAAAAATAGATGAGAATGAGAGGAAGAACCGAAGTATTGAATACCAAAATGATGTTTCATTTATAAAGAACAGTGTATTCTATACCAGCAGCCGCTTTTACTTCTCTCTGAATATGTGAATGCCGAGAGTTGAGCCCACTTACGTTTGGGGTACAAACTAAGAAATGGGCCTTAACATAAAACTACCCCTTCTAATTAACCATTACATATTCAACACAAATACAAAGATAATTAGTATGATTGGACACAATTAAATTATCCATAACAAAAAGGATGTTATGCTTTTTTATTAGCTTTTTGAGCTTATCTGGAGGGGCAAAACAAATTTTTGAAACTTGGTTTAGGCATAATGATCAACGCATGTACCTACAAATGTTTGTTTAAGCTTTTTGTCCAAGCAGTTCTGGGTTACATTATGTTGGGAAAAAAGATGATGTGTTGTATTGGCATGCAAGTCAAAATACCCATATTAGACTGTCCATATGCACATTAAATGGTGGCATCTAAATAAATTTAGAGTACATTTAGTATTCAAATAAGCTTCTAGGATCAGAAGTCAGAACAAAAGCGCATACCGTTGATGAAAAGCACCATAGTTATCTTCTTTGCAACGTAATTAGCATTGGAGATTAATCCGTCCATTTCAAAAACTGAACTTGATGGATCGTTGTCAGAAACACTAATTTTTATTAGATTTCGTGAAACTGACACACCATAAACTGATATTATTGCATCAAGCCTTGTGGGTGTTGCATTTGAATGAACATCAGCTCTAGCAGCTCCATGCTTCAAAAAATTTAAAGATGTGTAATCAAGCTTAGATAGTTGAGAGCAAGATGAGATCAAGTAAAATTTAAGGATAGCCATAATAAATTAATAATTACCGAAAAGATAAATGCTAACCTTTTTACACGAGAAGCTCACGTTGCTATGATGAATCGCAAACCTACTGATAAGATCCACAATTTTTGGATAGTCATCTGCGGAGTTTTGAAGTGTTTTCCTCCGAGCAGCCATATTATAAAATAAGTTTTCAATCTGAACATGAATAATAAAAAACATGTCAAAGAATGTTATTTATATTTGCAATCCCAACAATGAACAATTCATAAAATGTTCTATCATCATTGATGGTTAAACATAGCTCATTGTTAGCATTTGACGTAAAATATTTGTTTTCATGTATAACAGAACATAGTAACATACTAGCTCTTTAAATCTCTAAACAACAAAACACTTATCCCAATGCCTAAAAGAACTATATTCTGCTCGATAATCAATACAAAGTCATACCATTATTTGAGTACCCTTTACAGCTGCACACGCTTTTGGCTCATCTTGCATTACACCATCTTTATAAGTTGCCCTGGAAGTAAACTAAAATACATAAGTAAATAAACATTACATACAACAAAAACTAATAGAAAAACCAACACTGCCATAGGAACTAAGGTTTTCTTGTGATCAATGGGAACAAGAGCCAGATAAATACAAAACTTTTCGAATATAATAGAAAAACATTCATTTATGCAGGTATCTACTGCTTTACAGAATAAATGTTTTGCAAGGAAGTAAAGAATGACCATTAGTACCTGTATCCATGAAACTGACCCTTCGTAATGGTGGTCACTGTTACATGACCTACATAAGTCATGCTAGCCAAAGCCTCCCCTCGGAATCCCATAGACTTAATTGTTTGTAAATCCTCAAATTTACTCAATTTAGATGTCGTGTGCCTCTCGCATAATATTGGCAAATCCTCTTTCTATAGACAAACACCAAAGTAAATAAAAATTAAAAAAAAAATTATAAACATGAGAAGTGAAAATTTAGAGGGGAGATAAAGGTTTACAAGGAAAATTTACAGATTTGGCTTTTTGGGTAGGGGATATCGTAGCAAAAAGTGTAAAAAAATATGAAAAAGTACAAATGTTCGGGAAGAGAGATGGGAAAGCAAGGGTAAAGTTACAAAATTACTTTCACCGTCTTCTTTTCACAATATATAAGCGCAAAATCTGTTAATTACACGCTTCTTTATAAACTACTTCGTAATTTATTAGGATCCGGTTACATATGTTAGGGGAGGGGAGGATATATACGCGAATGCCGTGGCCGTCATCCGAGACTTGGATGAGTTTGAGGCCTCCGTCCTTGAGAACAACGGAGATTGAGGTGGAACCGGCGTCTAGGCTGTTCTCTACAAGCTCTTTCACGGCCGAGACCGGTCTCTGGATAACCTCTCCTGCGGCAATTCTGTTCACCACAGACTCGTCCAGGCGATGAATCGGCGGCGGATCCCTGGAATTTGAACGCGGGACCGGACCTACTTCTACTTCCATTTCGACGTCCACTCCTTCAGTAGACGGCAGCTCCGGATCAGCCTCCATGGCTGTGCTTCGTTTGGTGTCGAAATCGTTCAGTCTTCTCTGTTAGATACACTCAAAGGTTTTACTGTGGTTTCGCGCCATGGCATTTATAGGCCGCCAAATGAGAAGAGGGGTGGGCAATTTTTCATCCTGAATCGGTCAGGCACGGATATTAACCCGGACGGGATTGGAAGAGCTATAAAATATTAAGAGCTAGAAAATAAGATTCCTCCGTAACTCTAGAATCTTCCTACTCTTTTGGGTCAAATTTTTTAAACTTTGACCATTAATTATTCAAAACTCACATTATGTTATGATTAAAAATTTATTTCATATACCTCATTGTAAAACATATTATTTGAATGTTAATTTATTGTGAATTTTATAAATATAGATATGTAGATATTTAGAGTCAAAGTTCAACTTAGAAGACCGTAAAAAGTCAAAATGAGAAGATCTTTGTGTTACGGAGGTAGTATGTAATAGGCAAACTGGATCAAAACTTTCTAGCTCTTAGTTTCCCTAGTGTAATTTTATCTTATTTCGTATCTCTCTTAGTCTCGTTTCTTTTGTTTCTTTTGTTTAAAATTTGTTTAGTTCTCATTCCGATACTACTCTATAATATATTAGGAATTTTATCAATCCGAGACCTGAAAGATAGACAACTATCAATTCGGGACCTGAAAGATGAAATGTATCGGTATAGGACCCGAATGATGGAAAACTATCAATCTAGGACCCGAATGATTGAAAACTATCAATTAGGACCTAAATTTTCATAAATTTTATAATTATTTTATTTTAAAAAATTTAAATAATATTTAGTTTTATTAAACTAATAAACTTTTGTGAAGAAAATTTCACCAAATATTAGCAATGGAATTAATAAAAAATTAAATAAATCAAAACCTATGAAATGTTAGGTCCTAGATTGATTGTTTTTCATCTTTCGAATTGATAATTCGTCTATCTTTCAGGTCCCAGATCGATAAAATTCCAACATATTATTACGTGCGGAATATTATTTATGATGAAATAACTACTACTCCAAAATATAGTGTTGTTATACATTTCCGAAATAACTACTAGAATATATAGGTGTGTGTGTGTAGTCTTTATAGATATGATATTTAATTTAATGTGGTATTGAAAAAATACAAGTGTACTAAAGAGTATAAAAATATTTTGCACTACTATTCTACTAGAGGAAACACAAGATTAGGGGAGACAAAAAAATTACAAGACAATAATTAAAAATAGTTAATTAGAGGTTTTACTTAACGTTTTAGAGAAGTTAAATTTGCAAAAAATAGTTACGTCTTTATTTTGATGTTATGTTTATTTTGATATCACATTTCACAAATGTATATTTTATGGGACGTCTCGAACCGTCCCGGTTTTTCTCGGGTTGTTTCGGTCCCGTTTTAAATGGGACAACATTGGGAAAATGACTTATCTCGAACCGTACCCGACCGTTATAAGCCAAATTCCGGACCATCCCGGACCGTGCCCACCCCTAAATGAGAATGGTTTTGCTGTTTTGTTCGATTTTTGTCAAACGTTCTGCTAGAAAAATATTTACTCAAATAGGATGGGGTTAAAAATATTTTCCTAAATAAAGTAATGTTAGAGTTAACTCAAGTTAAAAGAACCGCCAACCTGATCAGCGCCTTAGGCAAAGTTCCCCACTGTGTGTAGAAATGCAACGCACAAGAGAGAAAATAGATTATTGGGTCCCAAAAAAATATCTTATTTTTCTGAAATATAATAACTTTTATTTGTGTTCGATTGTTATAAAAAATATATCAAAATTTATAAATTTGTATTATCTTTCATATGACACCGATATTGACCATATAAAATAATAATAAAAATTAGGCACTTTAAAAAACTAAAATTTAAGTGCCATAACTTTTTATGTGTATTCCGATCGTTACAAATTATCAAAATTTATATTTTTTTTTATTATCTTTCATATGACATCAATATTACGTATCTTAAAATTAAAAAAAAAAACACTTTAAGAATCTTGTGTTATCAAAGTGTTACTTCGTATCACTTTTATATTAATTGTTACAAATAATATGTCCAAATTCATAATTTTTTTATTATCTTTTAGATGATACCAACATTGCATTTACAAGAAATAAAAATAAAAATATATAAAAATCTATTAATCTGTTTAAGAATATATCAAACCAGAATTAAACAAATCAGACCAAATTAATGGAATTTTTATATATGAAAAATTAGTGTGATATAAAAGATAATAAAAAGTTATAAATTTTGATACAGTGTTTTTTTAACAATCGCAGTACAAATAAAAAGTTTATAGTACTTTAAAAAACACAAAAGTTCTTTAAGTATTAAATTATTACTTTTATTTGTATATATATATATATATATATATATATATATATATATATTTAAGTAATAAAATGTTATGAATTGTTATATACTTTTTGTAAAAGTTGGAGTACAAATGAACAAGAGAGAATTCTCTAAATAGGAGCAAAAAAGTTTTGAAATTCCAAAATAGGACTATCATGTTTTTTATTCCTTGAATATGAGTAAATTTCTGCCAAGTTTGGCATTATTAGGCTTTAAAAATGGCATTTTTTCCATGGAATAAAAAATATGATACTTATATTTTGGAATTTCAAAACGTTTTTGCTCCTATTTAGAGCAATTTCTAAATGAACAATGGTATATCACTTAAGAAAACATATTCTTTTAGAGTGAAAATTTATTTTTCTATTTTTACATATGTAATTTTGGTGTCATATGAAAGATAATAAAAAGTTTTAAATTTTGATATATTTTTTATAATAATCGTAGCACAAATAAAAAAGTTATAAAACTTCAAAAATAATTAGAGATTTTTTCTTTGTGGTGGGACCCAAGTCTAGTTTCCCTCTTGTGCACTGCACTCCTACGTCTTCTTTTCATTTTGCCTAAGCTTTACCTATGGGCGTAGCTCAACTGATAGCGAGGGAGTGACACAAAAGTTAGGTCTCAAGTTCAAATCTCGTCAACTGCGATGAGAGGTTACTATGCGAAAAAATACATAGGGCCTCTGCAAGTAGCGGGGACAGAGCCTCACTCTCTATCTGTCAGATTGTGATTATAGTCCAATTTACATTCTTCCAACGTACCGTTCGGTCGGTGTTGGGGACCCTCAAGGATGGGATGTCATCTTTTTTTTTTAATTTTGCCTAAGCCAACGATGTAGTTGGCCGTTCTCCAATTACAGTACTGTCCGGAAATACTTTTAACCACACACCAATTTGCTAAATACTTTTTTTGTAGCATTATTTTGGAGAAAAACTTCACTAAATAGGACTAAATTAATCCTAAATGCACAAATAGGAGAAAAACTCCTACGTACCCTTTTAATTTCTGGACTATTTTAATTAATTTCCATTTTATCGGGCCAAATAAAATATGTATCATTCCTCCAATTATTATTGGCTTTTAGAATGAATATTGTTGAGGTTTATTCCCTCAACCCACAGGCCCAACACGTAACCTGGGGGTTTCAAATGGGTAGAAGGCAAATGAACTCACTAAGTCAACGAGGGGTGGATTTAATAATAACAGCTTTTTCACTATTATGATTACAAGCCGAAAGGCCGAACATACAGAAAATATGCTACGCACTGCTGATGCTATTACAACTCTAGAGTAACGATGTGCGAACCCTTTACAATGAAATAAATGCGACTATTTATAGTACCCCCTGGTGGTTGGGGGGCTGACGTGGCCGGCTGTGGGCGACATGATTCCAACTACCAAATCTTCAGCATTAAATGCGCTTCCCGCCAAGATCTTGGTTTCCCACCATAACGCGGGGGACGTCCATCCCCTAAATTGGACTCAACTCTTTAGTGGCAAACGAGGCTTTTAAGTATAGCCCACAAGACGTCCCTCCCCTGGTCCTTGGACCCTGAGGCCTAGCTATGCTGGGCTACGTACGTCCCCTGGCCCTTGGACCCTGAGGCCTGGCTATACCGGGCTATGTACGTCCCCTGGCCCTTGGACCCTGAGGCCTGGCTATGACGGGCTACGTACGTCCCCTGGCCCTTGGACCTTGAGGCCTGGCTATGGTGGGCCACGTACGTCCCTTGATTCTTGGGCTTCAGGGGTTGATGGGCCGGTCCTGGAAGGTCATTAACCCAACACAAGTCCCCCACTTCTGATGTCCCGAGCCTGCGCGGGACATGAAGAAGTAAGATAGCCTCCGCCGTACCGCTTTGAGCCGTTGCTCCCTTTTCTCTGGGCGATGGTTACTTTCCGCCGTACCGCCTTGAGCCGTTACTCCCTTTTCCCTAGGTGACGGTTACTTTCCGCCGTTGTTTGCGGGGCTCTAGGTGCCAGCTATCAGGCCGGTTCAACTTCCAACAAAAAAGTAATCATTCCGTATCAGCCCGTCTCTATGCGACACGTGTCCCTGTATACGTTCCTTGCCACGTGTCGCCCGAGGGTTGGTTGTTGAGTCGGTGCCTTACCTTATAAATATCGGAAATCAGGGAAGGGTTAGGGCTTTTCATCTGTTGTCTTCTCTTGCCTTCTCAGCGCCGATCAGCGAATATTTCGGTCCCGGTGTTCGTTTCTTTTTCAAGCTTCTAGCAAAGGTAATTCCCCGACTCCAATCTTCTCCTTTTTCCTCATACCTCTCCCCATGGCATGCTCCATGGAGATTTCTTCCTCCTCGGAAACTAGCTCCGGTTCTTCTACTGGTTCTTCGGTCGGTTCATCTTCGGCGTCAGAACTCGGATCCCGTTCTTCGGCTGAAGCGAGTGGTTCTGGCCGTTCCAGTGCTTCTTCAATGACAGTCCCCGATGTAGTAACTGATGCCGCTGTCCCGGTCGTAGGGGAATATGTTGACATGGCCGTTGACCCTGAAAACGCCGTTGCGATGGCAGCACAACCTGCTGCGGCGGCGGGGCATCCAGCACACCACGACTCGGGCGAGGAGGCTGAAGAAGGGGATGACCTCCGAATCTACAAGCGGGGCATCCCCATGGACGATCACAGTCACATTGTGCTTATCCCGAACGTAGCTGTGATCGAGCAGGTTTTTTTCAAAAGGGCCTTGAGGGAACTGCAGGTTATCCTCCCCCCACCTGCCTATTATAGCCTTCGGGGCGCAGATAATCTCTT